GTCTTCTATCCGGACCTTGAACTTGTTTAATCTTTCCGGGTTGCCGCCAAGCACCCGCGTGAGCCATAGCTGCTTCAGCTCCTTCTCCAGACGTGACGGGAGACCAGGGTACATGCTGCTGCCGCCCGAAAGCACAATGGCCTTGTACAGCGATGATCTCACGTCCACATCCGCCGCCTGGATCGTGTTGAACAGGAACTCGGCAATACCGGGCTGTTCACAGTCCACCAGGTGAGGCTGGAACAGGCACTCTGGCGCCTCGAATCGCTCGCTGCCCACTCTAATCACACGGCCGTCGGGCAGCGTGTAGCTCTCCACCAACACCGTTGTGTCCTCGCTCAGGCGCTTGTCCAGCTCCAAGTCGTACGAGACGTAGCAGAGCTTCTCCTTGATCTGACGGACAGTCTCGAAATCGGCCGTTCGGTTGAGCGCGTAGCCGCGGCGCAGGAGGAGCGCAATGAGGTTGCGCGTGACGTCTCGGCCCGCGACGTCCAGTCTGCGGGTAAGGTGGTTCAGGACGACCGACTCGTAAACGGGCACGATGTGGGTCACGCCGTCTCCCGAGTCGACAACGACACCGGAGCTGAGACCTGTAGGGAGCAGCCAAGGTCAGCATCGTTGCATATCCTCTCTCTCTCTCCAATCCAAGTCGAGCGTGGCTAGTGCGGTCAACATACCTTGGGCGTAAAGGGCCAATACGGCCTGGATGGCAACATAGACGCCGCCGAATCCGTAGCGGTCAAACATGACCTCGCACATTTGCTCACGGTTCCGCAGCGGGTTCATCGGGGGTTCGGTCAACAAGATCTTGCGGCCGCGCGGGTCGACCTTCATCTTCTCGAAAAAGGTGTAGTCCCAGAGATGCTGCATATCATCCCACTTCTTGACAATACCGTTCTCCATGGGATAGCTAATCTGAAGCATCGTCCGGGCGGCGGCGGCTTCGTCACCGCACATGATATCCTTGATAACCAAGTCATTGTCCTCGCCCTTCTCTTCGGTTCTCAGGATCGGTCGGCCGACGATGGATGGGTATTGGAATTCTGGGAAGTTCTGCGCGGCGTAGCCGACCTTGAGGAAACCTGTTCCTCCGTCGAGGACTGTGGATCTTGTGTCAGCCACCTCCCGAGAACAGCATCAACCACTCGGGGGAAAGCGGTCACAGGCATAGCTGTGCAGCCGCAGCTGCAGTATCAGGGGCATTGCGTCTTACCGATGGGGGCCTCGGCTGCCATTGTGAAAGCAGAAGCTGCAGGCGTTCGAGATTGGAGCTTCTATCGATTTGGGGGAGAGGTGAGGTGAGGTGTGGTTGGGAGAGCGTCCGGGAAGCTGTTACGTCTGTGTCGTCGATAGTGGGGTTGGTCAAGTCCACTGCCTCCAGCTGTCCTGCCACTGGATCGTCAGCCAGGTCGTGGCTGAGTAGTGTCTGTCACGTGATACCCCGCAGCCAGCAGTTGTCACGGTCCAGGACTCCAGTGCACTGTCACTGGAGGTAGTGCTGAAGAGGAGCCGTAGTCGGCCCATTCGGTGCACTGGAGCCACAGCGTCACCGGACCGGCAGCCCCACCTTGACGGGCGAATCTCCACTTGTTCAAGGTCGCTGGTCGGCGGGACCATGATGATTCACACGCTTGAGGGATGAGTAGAAAGGTAATTTGACGTTCATTCTCACACACAGATTCGACCGAATCAGCATCTCGTCTGAGACAACTCCCCCAGATCTGTTACAAACAAACTCACAAAGAAGCCATGGCGACCTGTCTCCTTCGTCGGAATATCAAGATCCTCGTGATCAACGCCAACTCGTCAGAGGACATGACGAGGGGCATGGAGAAAGCCATACAAGCAATGCCCTTGCACGATGTAAGCCGGAATATATTACCAATACACTACATCTTAACCACAAATAACCAGTGGCTGACTTCTCTCTCTGTGTGTTAGTCTCTCGAGATTCACACCTACACAGCGCCACCTGAGAGTCCAGCAAGCATCAACGATGATGCCGACATCAAACTAAGTACCGAGGTCGTCATGAACGATCTCGTCAAAAGCGGCAAGCTCCAAGACTTTGACGGTGTGCTCGTCGCATGCTACAGCGTCCACACCTTGGTCGAGCAGCTTTCTCAGCAATTGTACTCCTCGCTGGCCGTTACCGGTATGTTCGAGGCCAGCATTCTGACTGCGACCTCGCTCCTACCTCACAGCTCTGACCCTTCGCTCGCATCCAAATGGGGTGTTGTCACGACTGGCGAGTTCTGGGAGAAGCACCTGAGCCAAGGCGTGAAGGGCTATCTAGGCCAATCTGACCAGTCGGATAATGTCAAGTTCGGGGGCGTAGCGTCAACCGGCTTGACAGCCGGGGACTTCCACCACGTGAGCCCGGCTGAAGTGAGGGTCAAACTCGAGCAAGCTACCAAGAAGCTGCTGAGTAGCGGAGATGTGAGGTGTGTGGTTATGGGTTGTGCCGGCATGGCTGGGCTCGAGGAGATCATTCGCAGCTCAGCCAATGAGGTCTATGGCCCGGAGAAGGGCAGCCAGGTTTTCATCGTCGATGGTGTCAAAGCTGGTATCTTGCAGCTCGAGCAAACGATCAGAAGCAGACGCTTGTTCCAAAACTGATTGATCTATTAATAATACCCATGCTATTGGCACCCCGTTTCCAACGCCATGCCTTTTACCGCTCTATTCAAACCTGTGCAAAACCACAATGATCAAGAAACCCGTCTTAGTCGAGCCGTCTAGTCCGCCCCCAAACTTCGTCTGCGTCTTTCTTGCCCTTAGTCTCGGGTACTTTGACGGAAACAAACAGGGCAAAGAGTACAGCGAAGCCGGCGAAGAGGTAGTACACCCAACCAGCTCCCCCGAGCCAGTTGTTGAGAGCATTGTTGACGATCGGGAAGAATTGAGCCACCAGGAACGTCGCGAGATAGTTGGACCCCAGAGACCAAGACTGGACGGCGCCAACAGCCTCCTGCCCAACCATCTCGGACGCGAGGATGAAAGGAACTGGCCCAAGTCCAACGGCGAAAAACGCTACAAATGACACGACTGACACAGCCGACAGGATCTTGACCCCGAACTGGATAGAAAGAGCGAGGATCAGCGAGCTGGTTCCCTGTCCGATGATGGAGATCAGAATGCAGGTCTTTCTCCCGAGCTTGTCCGGCAGTGGAGAACATGCTGCAGTGGTAAGGAGATTGATGACAGAAATCAGAATCGTCACTAGGGCGGAGCTGACGGGGAGCAAGCCGTTCAAGAGGGATACCGAGTACATGATGACAGAGTTGATGCCACACAGCTGCTGCGCAAACATGATGCCGATAATAGCGGCGATGGCAGGTCGGTGAAGCGGGTCTTTGATAACGTCGAAAAATCCAAGATGGACAGGCGAGGTGTGCTTGGGAAGGCCAGGAGACACTGGCGGCACATCGTCGCTCTGGGCCAAAAGACCCTCTTGCTCCGCGTTGACCTCCCCATCCCAGCTCTCGACTTCCTCTCTGATGTCGAAGTCCTTGCCGCGGATCCGCTGCAGAGTACGGCGAGCCTTCGGGACGTCGCCGTTGGCAGCAAGCCATGCCGGGCTCTCGGGAATCAATATGAGGCCGGAAGCCTGAGCCAACGCAATGAAGACACCAGCAGCCAGGATCCAGCGCCAGGCCTTCCCGTAGCTCAGGAAGAAACCCAGAGTCTGGACGGCAAGAATGCCCACATTGATGGAGACCTGAGTCATGGCACCAAAGAGACCACGCTCCTTTGGCGGTGCGATTTCACTGATATACAGCGGGACGATGACAGTTGACGCGCCCGCCGCCATACCAGTGAAGAATCGGCCAATTGCCAGAGCGGCAGCACCGCCAGCGAGGGTCTCAATAATAGCACCGACGATATATAAGATGGACGTGACTCGCATAGCAGGACGTCGGCCGCGCTTGGAAGAGAGGGGTCCGGCGCAAAGAGCACCTAGGAGGCCACCGACAGTGAAGATGGAGGAGACGGTCGCGAAGACGGCATCGGACATGGGAATGCAGTCGGGGAGCCAGCTCTCGGTATCGGGCGCCTTGGAGTGCAGCCAGGTGAGCTTTACCCCCTTGGCCGCAATTGACTTTTTTCGACAAGTAAGAACATCTTGAGGCGCGTTGAGCTCGGCCTGGAAGAGAGGCACAACAGGTTAGCAATTCATGTTTCGTGGGGATTGGCGAAGCAAATCGACGTTGAAGCGGAATGATGCAATAACGTACAAGGTGGAAGCCGAACTGCAGGGGGCCCAAAGTCGAGACAGAAATTAAGACAAGCAAGTATAGGCTGACATCGTGCATGCACTGTCGAAGACCCGAAGGAGCCATAGTGAAGGACGACGCTGTATGCTGCGAGAGAGAGTGTGTGTGTCGTCTAAAGTGAGCCCCGGGCTTGTATCGATGAGGACAGAGGTTTGTGTTTGGAGCAAGTAAAGCAGATGAGGACAAGGAACCTGCCTCGCTCAAGAGAGGGGGCCAGTCGGGACGACAAGCGAAGCTGGGAAAGCTGGGGAAGTCGCCGGCGGTCATGGGGAAGCTGCCCACATGCCACATCTGCCACACCTGTCACACGTCGTTGTTACGCATTTCAGCGCCGCTAGCAGCCACAGTCCCTGGCACGCCGGGCTGTTCCAGGTTCCGCGAGCGGGCCGCGACCTGTGACTAAGGTGAGGTACGTGCCTTTCTTAGCGCTGTCATTCGCTGCACACTGCTATTCACCACATAAGTTATGCCTCGAGATCGATGAGTGCATACCAAGGATGTCAACATTGGGCTTATGAGGCAATGTTTAGTAAACCTCTATGTAGATGGAGGAGAGTCAAATTGTCATCCTGAAGTAGTTATGTACGAATTACTTGACGTGATAGATAATTAGGTGTGAACAGTCTGCCATTACACAACCCTTCTATGTTTTCACAGTTTGGATTTAGAACCTGTTCAATGAATGAGTTCATAATTAATTGTAGTCTCTCCCGTGCTCCGAATCTACTGAATCTTACCCAATGATCTCTTGACGGCCACCTCTAAGCTCTCGACATCGTTTGGTCCGAGTCCGATCCTCTCGTTGTCCGTCTTCTCGTACAACGTGCCGCCCTCAGCCCAGATGCGTCGCAGCGTGAAGATAGTGGCGTAAGGGATGCCATCCGCCCAGGCCTTCTCCTCGGCCTTCTTCAACGTCTCCAGCGACGAGTAGACAATTTCCCATTTGTCTCCAGTCTGCTTCTCATACTCGGCCACAATTTCCTTGCCGGTCGCAACGAAGGACTGTACTTTCAGAGCTCGGTTGAAGGATGCCTCTGGGTGACGAAGGGATGCCACCAACGTCGTGCCGACACTTTTGACGATTCATATGAGTATTGCGTAACGTAGTCGTGGTATGAAAATGGGAACTTACTCTTTCATGGTGATCAAGCCAGTCTTTCCTTCACCGTCTTCAATCAACACCGCCTTCCGGGCTGCTGTATCAAACCCACCGGCCTCTTGCGCAATCGATGGCAGAGTCAAGAACATGTCGACATAAGGACCCGTTACCAAGTACGTGTACTTGAGTCTCTTGACGTTCTCACGGATGTACTTGCGCACCTTGAGCTTGGCCTGGTGAGGCTTCTCATTGGGGCTCTTGGGACCGTATTCGATATCCGTGCCGTACTCGGAGGGGAAAAACCACTTGACAGAGTCTGTCTCCTCGGCCAGCTTGATGAGATCAATTTGCTTCTCAATCACGTTTCTGCCGAGTGTGGATATAACGGTATCGGCATCCTCGTAGGCCGCCTTGATTTGCTCCGTGTCGTCGACATCGCCAGCGATGACTTTGAGCCCCTTCTTCTTCCACCCATCGAGCAAGCCTGCTTTCCTTTCTACTGTTGTCGGCGATGTGAAGAGGGTGATTTGATCAAAAGAGGGGCTGGCATCTAACAATGCTGCGGTGATGAAAACACCAATCTGGCCAGTCCCGCCAAATACGAGAATCTTGGATGGTTTGAAGATAGCCATGATATCGTGTTATGGATATTAGAGTTTGTTAGCGTAGAAGATGTGAGATAGTTGTAAAGATTCTCTAAATCGTTCGTATTGACTGGCTGTGGCCGGATACCCGGTTCTTATAGCTTCAAGTGCATTACAAAACACAGAGCGATAACGGCTCAATCGTTCACCCCGCTGAAACTACTAGACACATGCAAGCTGTGCTTCGACCCCTCGAGTCTGACGCCATCTCAAGGTGCGCTTATGAGATGGAGGGGCATTGGGGAAGCAATGAGGGGAACGGATGCGAGAACCGTCGAGCCCCACGCCGTTCATCTCGCCCACTCGCAATCCCCAAGGGAGTGAACAAGCTGTGAAGAAGCCGAAAGTAAGCGGCCTTTTAGACCGGGCTTCTCCATTACAAGCGACCATCTTGACTCCGACCTCCGATAAAATGAAACTCTTTCTCTTGTGCTCCCGGATTCAGCTGGAAGCAAAATGTTCGGATGAGGCACGCCATAGAAGCCAGAGAGAGATCCCCGACTCCGGGCCGGGTACGTACTCTCCAGGCCCCACCAGACCATCCCTGTCGGCACGGTGTTTTCTGAGAGGGCGACGGACCCACACGCGGGAGACGGGGGACCCCACCACCGATCGGTCAAGATTCCCTAGAAATTTTTTTGATTTCAACTTTTTTTTTTGGTTCGATAGTCGGGAACGCAGCTACCTCGCGACCCGCCGGGCGAGATTCGACGACGACCACCACCACTACCACCCACGACGACGAAGCACCGGGCAACCCTCCAATCCGCAACCATGGCGTCTACCGACTCACCAGCGACCAATGGGCACAGGTCCGACAAGAAGATCAAAAAGGACAAGAAGGAGAAGAAGCGCTTGCGCGAAGAGGGCGACGATGCTGCCGAGGAGCGCAAGCACAAGCGCACAAAGAGCCTCGGAGTGACCAAGGGCGATGCCAATGATGACGACGAACAATCTCCTCAGGCTTCCCAGGAACTCTCAATGGATGCCCTGGCAACGAGCAACACCAATGGCGAGCCATCATCCGAGAAGAAGAAGTCCAAGAAGGACAAGCACAGAAAGTCAGTAGGCGAGGCCGAACAAGACGGCTCGGACGCCGAGCGCAAGTTGAAGAAGGACAAAAAGAAGAAGCGCAAGTCAGAACAAAATGCCACCGAGGAAGCCCTCGAGGATACCGCAGAGCCGCCAGCGAGCGAAGGGAAGGAGAAGAAGAGCAACAAGGCAGCGTCCCCCGAACCCGTTGCCGACGCCGACGCCATGAACGTCGACTCCCCCACAAAGACAAAATCAACAGGCCGAGTCCACCAACCCCCCGACGCGCTTTCCAAGCCCCAGTTCCCCTTTTACACCCAGACCGTCTCGCTATACCTCCCCATCTACCCCATAGGCTGGGATACGCCATGCACCGCCGCCGCGACGCAGCACCTCGAGCCCCTCGTGAACCGCTACGTCCCGCACCTCAAGGGCGTCCTCCTCGCCTTCCGCAACGTTGCCGTCTCGGAGCAGCCCGGCCGTCGTTACGCCGCCACCAGCGACTCGGAGCACTGCGACCTCACCTCCGTCGACGAGTACGCCGTCGGTTTCGGCTACGTGACCGTCGACGTCGACCTCTTTCTCCCTCGCCGCGGCGCTTGGATGGAAGGCAGCATCAACCTTGAAAACGAGGGCCACGTCGGCGTCGTCTGCTGGGGCAAGTTCAACGCCAGCATCGAGTCCAGCCGTCTTCCCCCCGAATGGCGCTGGATCCATGCCGGCTCCGCCGAGGCCGCTTCCTACGTCGCCGACCCCTTTGACGTTGATAACACCGACGCCGCCGCCGAGGACGAGCACGGCGCCGTGCGCCAGATCCATACCACGGGCTTCTGGGTCGACGGCGCCGGGGACAAGGTCAAGGGCCGCGTGCGCTTCCGCATCAGGGCGTTCGACGTCGGAGTCAGCGGCGACCACGGGTACCTCAGTCTGGAGGGCACGATGCTCGACGCCGCGGGCGAGAAGGCGGCTGTTCAGGCCGACGCAGAGCAGGAGCGTAGACGTAGAGCCGGTAAGAGCGGCGGTATCCTTTCCAAGGAACGGCGTCGTATGCCCGAGTTCAGCGTTACCAAGTTTGGCGAGGTTGAGGATGAGGAGGACAAGGCGTTGAAGAACGATGTTTGGAAGACGACGGAGCCCGTGACGGACAACGAGGCCGGGGAAGGTGTTGAAAAGGAGGCGTTTACGGGCATTTCGGCGGAGGAGGCATAAGAAGGGTGGGCTTTGTAATAGATAGCTTTGCTCTCTGTGTCTTATGATTCCCCGTGGGATGACTTTTCGGGCGTTTTGAGGGTCAGGGAAAACTTGACAATGATACAATACTTTTGCATATACTTCAGGACTGCGAGGTGCTCCCTGTGAAGAACGGTTGGTTATACTTTACCTCGCTATTGCTTTAAAACCACTCCCCGATTGGACACTGCCAAACTCTTCGCCATCTCCAAGGATTGCCGCTTGCCTTTCCGGTGAAGGACGATAGCCTCCTTGATGAGACATCCTTCTCCTCAGGAAGGGAATGGGTTGCATAGATCGGGATATTGAAGTTCAAGAAGACAAGATGATTATCGCGTTGGCAGGTCTTGCAACAGGGAGGATTGGGAAGGCCGAACAATGTGACTTATACCATCTTGATTATGATACACCAGGTCGAGGAAGGGACATAATATGATTGCTGGGCCGTCGGCCGTCAGCCGTTTGAAAGAGACTTGGCCAGGTCGCAATCGCTGACGATGCGGGATATACAAGCGCGATAAAGCGAGTAGTCACATTGAAGTAGATTGCGGGGCGACGAGATTCATCTAGGATCTTGACCGTCGGTCTACCAAGAGTTGGCTTTGAATTAATTATCCTTGTTCAGCGGCATCTTGCGATACCTTGTTCTTTCCATTATCCTTGAATAAGTCCAGCTGAGAGCGCTAAAGCTTGGCTCGCACTCGAAACCCTTTTCCAAGTAACACAAGGAGTCATTTCCAAGTCATTCCCAGGCGTTGGAAGAAGGAGAAGAGAGATCCCTTGGGAACGTATCCGGCATATCGCGCCTGCCACCACGAGGCAAAGGTATCTATATTGACATTTGTGAGAATTTGATCTCGGAAACGAATTGAGAGTATTGACAAAGATACTTACCAGCAATCGGCCCAAGTTCGCCGAAGCCAAGCGCCTCAATCACCCAGGGAGCGATAATGACCAACACGCCAATAGCGATAATAGTCATAAAGACAGGATGCTCTTTGGCAAACTCGAACACGCTCTCAGCGGCTTCGGCTGACTTGTCTACAGTCTCCCTCACAACTTGGCCGATAGTGTCGCGGTGGCGGACGAGGCCTTCGACGCCGGAGAGGATGTACTTGGCGAGCTCCTCGGTCCAGGAGTTGACCGTCACGATGTTTCTGAGGCGGCGCTCGAGGTATTTGCCTCCCTTTTCGGCAGTGCGAAGGATGTTGATGAATTCGGAAGCGGCGTTCTGGGCAGAACGAAGGGGTTGGTCTTTGATGATGCTCGTGTGCTTGTCCGACGTGGCTGCCTTCGGGCTCGACTGGAACTGCGGGAGGCAGCGGGCGAGGAGACCGCAACTGTCCTTCTTATCGCACTCCATCTTGGTGCTGTTTGTGAATGTAATCGTTTGAGAGAAGGTGGAATTTGAGGATTAGAGCCAAAGAAAATCGCTGTGTGGAAGAGAGAGAGAGGGAGGGAGTGACGGTATGTTTGTTCTTCATCTGTTTTCCCCCAGATGGCCGAGAGAATAGGCCTCGCCGCTGTTTATTGCCATTGCACCACCGAATAAACAGTCAACTCATCTTCAATTTGCCCGACGCCTCCTCATGGTTGGCCTCCGGAATGGAGTGCGCCTTGCTTATTCGTCCGCAAGCCGCCCGTTGGTTTCAACATATCTCACTTGCACAATTATGAGACCAAAAACACAAGTACCAACAGCATGTGCTCTAAGCAATCCTGAACCGGAACGCTACCTGCGCCCGAGAGAACATATCCAGTATCCCTCTCACTTACATGAAGTCGCTTCATCCTACAACTAAAAATTTAGTCGTGAAGTAAGGTGGGCTGATTGAACCTGATTCGCGTTGCTTCTGCTCTCACCAATACACCTATTGAGCTCCGCGTGTAGTGGGCCTGTATCTTCCACACAACCATCACCGAACTCTTTTTCCGTGCCAAAACTGAAAAATAGAAAGTTCATGATCCTGTCTGACCGGATCGAGGGCATTTGAGGGCAAAAGCAAAAGAACTGGGCCCTAACCAGGATTCGAACCTGGGACCTCTCCCAGACGTGTCGAGAAGACCCTAAGGGAGAATCATACCGCTAGACCATCAGGGCTGATGCGATTTTTGATCGATGCCAGAAGCTGCACATTCATTGTTCTTGAAGCTCTGAGACTTCTCGAATGAGGGTTCCCCCCTCTTCACGAGCGAAAATATTCCATCCCAGATCCTGCTGCTGGGAAGCCGCGAGCAAAGCATTTGACGCACTTCTCACAACAAGCGCAAGTATACGCTCCTCACATATACATGACAAAATGACATTCTGTACGACGCCTGCTCCGTACAGAGTACGGCATCATTGGTTGGGCTAAGCTGGCCCTTCTCCATTGCGTCTGTGAATCTTCAGACTTTCAGCTCTCCAGACCTTACTTCTCTCGAAAGGTTCTAGAATTGTTTTCTGAATCCTTGGTCTACGGCCGTTACATGGCCAGGCTCCTCAGCACAACCCGCCGCAACGGCAATCTCCTTCTGGCTCAGGGTCCCCCTTGGCAAGCTCACGTCGCTTACCGCAGAAGCGAACGTCAGGATTCGAATCCTGCAAGCTATGCGAAGCCGAGCGAGAGTCTCACCCGCACAACCACCTTGCCGCATACAGCATTCGTATACCCAACTCATTCACCTTTCCATATCAACGTCCGGCAAGTATATTCATACTTGATGAAGGACTTCCATTCATGCGAGCTCTGCGTCGTCTTGGGCCAAGGGGTCTCGGACACTGCTGTTCTTCAAAGAGCCATTCCCCAGTGCCATCGCAGCGATGGCAGCATCTTTGAGCTTTGCACTCTCCCGGCTGTATCTTAATGACCCTGGTATCCCAAGATAAGCCTTTCATGTGTTGGGTTTGGATCATCGCTAGCGTGAAGACTGCAATCGACGGACATGATCTCCGTGGCATGTTTCGACATGGTTACTGCGGATAGGCAGCTCCCGCTGACCCGCCTCTATCACCTGCGGTGGGTAATGGCACTAATTGCTCGCCAACCAGGTTGAACCTATGGTTTCCAGAATAACGACTGCAATTGCAGACTTGTCAACGCCAAAGGACTGCCGTCGACGGCACAGGTTCCCGCTGACACTCCCTATTCTGGGTAGTTCTAGCCAGGTTCATTGAATGTAACGGTATTACCGCTTTAGGCTGGACAAATTCTCGCTGCCTAGTCTCTAGTTCATCTGCCCTCCAACTGGACCTTCTCTTCTACTCCTAGCCTACAATGCTCCCATGCCACATCTACGTCGAATCCAATCCTACCGGATCATCAAAGCTATTTCTGTCCTTTCGATTCGAACACCTGATCACGTGTGGATGGTGTAACTTTCACCGCCAGCGGCCCGTCTCTGGACCTTTCCTATGGATCCGATGCTCGAGCCTATCAACATCGTCTTGGCCTGGTTCTAGAGACTAGGAGGTGATGTTCTGGGACTCTTATGAGATGAAGTCTAGGCATCCTCTATAGTCATCCTTGTCGGTCTCATCCCTATGAGGCGATGAATGCGACGTATCCCCGTGAAGCTTGATCGTTCTATCGCATGTGAATTGTTGCCAGATCCAATCATCTTAGACCTTATCCGACTTTCCCGAATAGAAGCAGCACAACGGGGCACGCGCGATGTTGCAATGCCCACAACTTAGGCCATGGTCTTTGAACATCCTCGTCATCCACCAGCAATGCTCCATCAACATTGTGGCCTCGCGCAATCCTTCGTGGATGCTTCGGAGTTGAGTTGAAGGTCATCACCTTGCAAGTTGACGTAGCTTCCTCTTGCGATACCCATCCCGAGCTGAGTATTCCGTTCTTTAGTCTTTGTCATGAGTGACAACCACGGATGGGCTGAGAACTCCATATCTTTCCGGGCAGCTAGACGCCGTTTATTGCCTCGCTAGTGGTATCCGTGTGGCTTTCCCACAATAGCCATCTCTGAGCCTAGGTATATAAGGCAGACTACCTACCCGTCGACTTCAACTCTCCTCGCCACTCCTCACACAAGACAAGCCATCTCAGCAACCTCGCCTCTTTACCCTTCTTAAATAAACCATCAAAACCGCCAGCATGCGCGTTCTTTCTCTCCTCGCCCTAGTCTCGGCCACCCTCGTGGCCGCCGCCCCCAGCCCCGTCCCAGAGGACGCCAACTCCTACGTCCTCGCCGGTCCCCTCCCCTACGAAGAGCTGAAGAGCGAGGTAGCCAAGCTCAAGTCCGACGGTTCCAACGCCGCCCGCAGCCTCAACAAGCGCATCTGCGAGGGCGTATACATGTGCGACGGGCAGAACTTCAGCGGCTCCTGTTACTACGGCTGCTACCCCATCAGCGTCGGCATCTACCCTGACTCCTACTGGGTCTCCCGTATTAGCTCGGTTGGCCCGGACAGTGGAGGCTGGTGCGATTTTTACCAGTATGTAACCTCTTTAACAGTCTTCTTGATCTTCTGTGTCTTGGATGTACGAAGCTAACGATGCTGTAGAGCTGGAAGCGGTTGTGACGCCACGAAGGGCTCTCACCAGATCTTCAGATACCCAGGCGGTAATTTGGCCAGTGGTATTGACAACAACATGGGTTGCTTCTACTGCAACCCTAACTAAAGTAGGCCTTGATGTCATGTTAAGTGTGATATGCTTAACATTTCGCAACATCAAGATGGTGGCCGACAAGTCTAAACACTTATAACTTCTCTGTATCTATTCATATTCATAGGCTGATAGTCTACCTATGTACTCTCAAGATGCCGATCTTTGGGCTAGTCTTGAAACGTGTCAGGCAGTCTGTGTCCCCTTCACATTCTCTCAACTTGACGAAAGCACTGAAGCGCCAGCCATACGTTGGAAGAAGCAGGTTCGACTAGTTCATGAAGGGGTCAGCCGGTGCAAGTGGAGTGACAAATCCGCAGGCAACGTGAAATCTCACGCTGACTCAATCTCGTCCACTACCCGTTCGACGAAGAAACAGCTTCAAGTGAGGCCTTCATTTGCAGATAAGTCCTTGAACGAGGGATGTCCCAAGAGACCCAAAAGCCGTAGAGACAGACCTAGTATTATTTGTTCGAATAATCGCCTTGGCGCTACGTAATCAGTACCCCAAATCATCATTGCCATTTCCAACAAGTGATCATTGAGGCTGAGTCAAGTCCTTCAATAACTTTCGTCCTCTCAATACGTCCTTCTCATGGTACGGCTCCCTGGCCGTCTCAGCAATACCCTCCACAACCCACTGATTCACAGCAGGATGCTCTAACAACGTCTGCACATACTTCATCGCAGGCTGCGAAACCTTCAACCCAAACGTCTGAATCCTCGTCGCAACGGGTGCAAAGAAGGCGTCCGCGGCGCTAAACTCCCCGCCCGCGAGGTACGGCCCGCCGAAACGCGTCAGACCTCCGACCCAGAGCTGCTCAAGCCTGTCAAGGTCGCGCTGCAATGCTGCATCGGGCGGCCCGCCGAGGTCGATACGTAACGCCACGTTCATGGAGCATTGGTCTCGGAGGGCCTCGAAGCCGGTGTGCATCTCGGCGGCGGCGCTGCGGGCATAGGCGCGGGCGACCTTGTCTTGCGGCCAGGCAGCCGGGTGGTCTTCGGCAATGTACTCGACGATGGCGAGGGAGTCCCATACGGTGGTGTCGCCATCTTGGAGAGTGGGGACTTTTCCTGTAGGAGAGAAGCTGAGGAAGGCGGGTTGGCGAAGGCCGGCGACGAAGGTCTGGAGGCATTCTTCGAAGGGGATGTTGAGGGCTTTGAGGAGGACCCAGGGTCTCATAGACCAGCTGGAGTAGCGCTTGTTGGCGACATAAAGGACGTAACCCATTGCGAGTGTCTCGGCGGGGGATCTGTTTGAAAGGTTTGCGGATAGTCGAAGTAGAAAAGGATGTCGTTTGATGGAGGGTGGGTATTACTTGAGGGCGGATGAGTATGATTAAAGCCTAGATGCGATTTATATATAAGTTGAGATTGATGACCTGATTTGACTCATCCGACAATGCGAGTTTCCAGACATCTTGTCACGCCCTTGGATCGAGGCTCGTGGGGGTGGGGTTTGTCAAGCTGGGGCAGACAATGGACACTAGTCCTCTCGCCTCCAGACTCAACCTCAATTTATCCAACGCTTCGTTAGTTGAGCTGCAAGCTCCGCCAAGTTCTGACGAATTGAGTTGGTATCACGACTGGTCGAGCCGAAGAGGCAGGTTAAGACCGGCAAAATGTGGAGGACGGATGTCAGTGGAAGGGCGCTGCGAAATTGGGGTTCATGGTGCCAAGAAGTTTTGGCTTCCTCAACTAAACGCGGCGAGCCGCCCTAAAACGTGTAAGTTCTGCCACATGGCGCTCGCTAAACTACCTAGAGTAACAGGGCCTACGGATACCTGCAAGGGACTCCACATGGTTGTTCCAATGATGCTCAATGAGTGTCTTCGGTAGGAAGTCAAGGGTTTGTCAAGTGTGCGCACATGAATAAGGGAATGACAGCTTATCGTGCCTTATTGAGCATTTTACTAGGCGACCATTAGCTACATGTACGGGAACTCGAGTGAAGTGACAAGCTTTGGCTAACATACCCTAACTGGACAAGGAATAAAGTGGGTCGACAATGAGTTGCCCTCCAACTTGATATTCTATGTTTGGTACATATCACCTAGGGATAGATTCTCAGAACATCAAGATTTTACTTGATACACCTCTGTGATAGACTTGATTGTTTTCTTGCATGAGTAGAGATCTAGGTTGTTATGCGAGGTTGGAAGCCCCATGCCACATTGAGAAGCAGCGGTTTGCATTCGACAGGTTGAACTCAAACATTACCCATTAATGCATGTAATTGAATCTGAATCCCAGTAGCCAAGCCAGAAGCTACTCTCTACAGCTTTATGAAGAGCAAGCAAAGTCGAAAGACAAAGAGCTGCCATGATAGTTGGAGCAGCCATCCCCAAGCCGGAACGGCTGACCATCCACCAACACAGGCGTGCAGGTCTGGACAGTCGTCTGCGACGTTGCGTCCACGATAGCAGTGACCTGCGTCGCCTGTCCTTCACTATTGTCGTCGCTGCAAGCCAATTCGAGGTTGCGGTACGTGACGCCCGTCTCGTCGCTTGTGATGTTGAAGGGGTTGCCGCAGATGGGGCCCGAGGTGTAAGTGCTCGCAGTGCGGACGGCGGTCCACGTGGCCGTGCCTTTGATGGCGCCCGCCGCTACGCAGACGTCGTCGAGCTCTTGGATTGTGGTCGGCGTGTAGGGCGACCAGGCAACGAACATGTTGGTGTGAGGGAAGGAGAAGTGGCCTAGGTTGATTTGGGGGAGACTGCAGTTTCCTGCTGACACAAGGGCCAGTGAGGAGGCGCCGATGATGGTAGAGCACTTCATTTTGATGTTTAGCGAAAGTATAGCGTCGGAACTAGAAACCGTTGAAGCTCGTGAGGAACGAATGCGTAATTGTAAGGCTGAATATGGTTTATAGACTGCTTCTGGGACTTACCTAGGGAGGATTAAGCTGAGTTCTTAAATCCCTAGTTGAAGGGATGATCTTCACTCACTAGGGCTGCGTCATTGGAGGGTGAACTTTCAGCCCTGGATTGAATACGAGCATCTCAATATCCACCTGACTCTGGTCAAGCCACTTTTAGCGTCGCTTCTGCCTACGCTTACTGAGAAGAGCATGGACCGAATAATCCTCAGAGGGAATTCCGCATATACGGGAGTTGTGATGCTATTCGACAATTTGAGTGGTTAATAGCCTTGTTTGATCCCCAACACTAATTAGAGCATCGGGAAGATAGTCTGCGGGAAGGATTCAGCCGTTGAAAATGCCCGACATCTAGCCGATGTTGTCTTCGAGAAGCCCCACGAAGCCGAACACGAACTACCTGAAATTATAGCATCCCTAAGGTGGTGATTGATCATACGACTTACAAGTTGAAGTAATCTTGTAATATGTTAGTTCTCTTGGACTACCATATAATGTTCCAGTAATGGGTTTGATCAGTACTATATCCAGAAATAGCAGGCTATCTTGAGAATTTACCGAGAATCAAAGTCGAAGCTACCACTATCACTGTAATCCCAGATCCGAGTGGCATTCACATTGAGAAAACAATGCGTGGTCTCAGAATTACGGACGCTGTAACACCCCTGTGCCCCGTTGCAAAAGGATTAGGCTCATGCTGAATAGGATTATCTTGACCGAAGTCAAAACAGCACTTAGACTGCAGATAAAGCCGGTTGGCTAATGAGTCGATGACCTTGGTCCTTGAGTTGAGGAAACAGGTATCCCCACCAAGGCCGGATCATCGTGCCGTGACCGGTATGTATTAAGTCAGCATGGACCCGCGATGCAAGCTAGCTTTTTGTTTCGCCAGCCACGTTCGGGAAACGAATAGAGAACGATGCTCGGGAATTAGCGGGTGCTGAGGCCTAGAAACACCTTGATAGGTAGGGTAGAGTGGTTACAGCTCAAACATTCTGACAACGAGGGAGGCCGGTATCCGGAAGTGAAACTTGGTGTAGTAGACAAAGATGTTTTCGTAAACAAAAAACCCATTTAAGCCATACGAGGCAGATATTCGGAAGGTTGTCGGTAGGTTAAAATTAAGGCCTGAGCTTGCTTGACTCGGAAATAGGATGTGGCTCAGCTTTGTTGCGTAGCTATGTCGATTCCTTGGCATGGATGTAATAAGTTTATCATGTCATAACCTGGGTTCATACTAAACTGCATAGGCTTGGTTCATCGCCATTATGCTGCCCGGCTCGGGGTGACTCGAGCGAGAAGCTTGGTGATTTACCGTTTCTCGTCGAGTCGATGCCTGGGAAGCATAGGTGTGCCCTGCTAGAAGGAGGAGGGATACCTCGACGTTGGATGGCCAAACCGGAGAGCATGAACACGGCTTGGATGTATGGATTTACGAGACCCCTTTTTGGAAGAGGGAGAGAAAAACATTGATGGCGCGTGATGAAAGCAGAGTCATGGGCAGAAATTGTTGGTGGTGAAGAAACCCGACGAACTCGGGGAATGACAAGTTGAAACTCGTTCAGCCCCCATCGAAAGCCGTTGAAATAGTGGCGCACTCGCAAGGATATATGTGAACTCTGTAAACTCAATCTTGCGGAACGGGAACAATCGAGCAGATCAATAGATTGGATGACGTTTTACATAATACAATTTCACGGTTGTGATTGGGCAGCTTCATAACACGGTGAACGTTCGGCGAGGTTCACGCGACTCGTCTCTCGCTCATACAGAGTTCTGTCAGGGGAAGGCAAATTCGCACTTAAATCAGCCACAGATCTTCTCACTCGTAAGTCCTGATAGGTTCCTTGGGTAGACAGCAGCTCGAGCAAACACACAGCAATGGAGTCCAAATACCCAGCAGCAACGGATTTGAAGAAGATCAACAAACTCATCGCAGACGCCCAGGCCCATAATGACGAGCTCAACAGAAAGGTTCTCTGTGCCAAGGCTGTAAGCTTGTGCGAGTTGGCTACAGTAGTCGCGAAAGCTGAGTTGGAGAACGTGATGGACCGATCAACATCGTCCAGCGAGTACCTCACCGAAGAGGACTCCTCGGAAGATGACTATGGATCGGACCCCGACACCAAGTACGACGCAAAGGGCAGACGTCGCATACCACTCTTGAGCGAGCGGGAGTCGGCGGCGCCGACACGCGCCATGCCTCAACGCTTCGAGGACAATCTCAGAAAGCTCCCTATACTACAAAAGTCTATCAACTCCGCCAAACGGAATCTGGGAATGCCAGCCGATGATGACAACGATGAAGACGGACGCGCGAGAAAGAAAGTGAAGACTGCCTCCTCACCAAGACTGGCACAGAAACCCGCCATCAACCGCCCGGCCTGGCTCAAGATGCGGTCGACTGCTTCCGATCGTCGCAGGAGAGGATGGATGAGGCCATGGACGCAGGGAACATTATCCTAGAACAATTTGCGGCCTTTGTGAAAGCCATCACGGCGGAAAGCATGAATACTCGAAAACGCTCCATCCAGGAGGCACTGACCCACGTTGCGCACCATTTTGGGGCCGAGCTTTTGCCCAACGGCTTGGAACTTATTCGAGCGGAATTCGAAAGAACAGAGATGGGTACGATGTACCTGATATATCCGTTGGACGCCAAACGAGCCTACTTGGAAACAAGAGGGGTCTTGATGGACCCCCGAGAACTCCGAGAACGCGCGATTGAAAAGGCTATAGCCGACGTCAAGCTCAATTTTGGGCAAAAGCTTGTGTCTGACGGGTTGCAGGTCATTCTTGCAGGCTTCAGAAAGACGAAGTGGGATGAGATATACTTGATCCTCCCGATGGAGGCCAAACGAGCTTACTTGGAGAGAGAAGGGGTCCTGGCAGGTCTCCCTGTGGTCCAGAAACCGTTGAACCAGTATGCGAAACCCTCAAGCGAAGAGAAGAAGGGCCGGGTGCGTGAGTGGCTTGCAGCTATGGATACTACGTGTCATGGTGCCAAAAGTCAAAGGACAGCATAAACAATACAAGTTAATGCTATCAACTCAACGACTATGCGTAGTCCGCATCCAATGGGTAAACTGGGTGAGATGAGAAAGGCTGGTTGTAGGGATGAAACTAAGGTCTGCGATGGCGCCACGCGATGATAGCTTGGAACAAGGCCAGTCACCAACACATAATCCAATGTGAGAAAAGATTGAATGAGAATCAAGATAGAAATCAGGTGAATAGGATGAGAGAATATGGGCGAGAAGAAACATTCATGTTGAGCTGTTCATGAGATGAAATGCAGAGTATTACCTAATGCACCTTTTTTTTTTTTTGGGGCAAGAGAATTGATGTCACTGGCGCGGGACTTTGTACCGAAGCTCAGGACAGGAACATCCCAAACTTTTTTTGACCACCACCTCGAAAAAGTCACCCAATTCCAACCAGTTCCTCTCCCACCACTCCACCTCGCTGTCCGAGTATGCTCGCGGCACCATGGGTGTGCCGTCGCTGTCTGGGAGGGCTTCTCAAACCCAGAGCGACCCAATTCATCCGCCATGCTAGCTCCGGTAAGCTCTTGGGTCTTGGACCCTTTGCGATCCCTCCTCCAAGCTAATACATCCTCAAATCCAGACGCAGCAGCAACCCTCCCACCAGCCCTCCTCCAACGAGCCCGCAACATCGCCAAAGAACACGACGCCCTCGCCGCGACCCTTGAAGAAGACTACGACTCCAAAACGGCCCGGCGCGTAGGCGAGCTCTCCAGCGTCGTCACCGCCCTCCGAGAATGGGAAAAGGCACAATCCTCCATCGCCGAGCTCGACGGCCTCCTCTTCTCCAAAGATAAAGAACTCCGCGAAATGGCCGCCGAGGAACTCCAGACCACAAACGGCCAGCTCAGCTCCCTCTCGCGCAAGCTCTCCGCCTCGCTCACGCCAAAGGATCCCTACGCGCACATGCCCTGCCTCCTCGAGGTTCGCCCCGGGCCGGGCGGTCTCGAGGGCCGCTTCTTCGCAGACACGTTATTCAAAATGTACAAGGGCTACTGCGCGCGGAAAGGTCTGCGCATGACGGTCATAAAATATGACATGGCCGACGCAGCGGGCGATTCCTCCTCAGCGGCAGGCGAGAGCCCTCTCCAGGAAGCCGTCATCGAGGTCCAGGACCCGGGCGCGTACGACCTCTTCCGCGGCGAGGCGGGCATGCATCGCGTCCAGCGCATCCCAGCGACGGAGAGCAAAGGCCGCGTACACACGAGCGCCGTGGCTGTTTGGGTCCTCCCTTCGTTTCAGGGAGAGGGAGGCGACATGGAGGACATCAACAACCCGGAAAGCGACTTCTTCATCGACCCCTCGGAAGTCAAGATCGAGACGATGCGGGCGCGCGGCGCGGGCGGGCAGCACGTCAACAAGACCGAGTCGGCGATCCGCATGACGCATATTCCGACGGGGACGGTCGTCAGCATGCAGGACTCGCGATCGCAGTCGCGGAACCGGGACGACGCGTGGAAGCTGATCCGGTCGCGCGTTGCGCTGCAGCGGCGCGAGGCTCGAGAGGAGGCCGCCGCGCAGTTGAGGAATTCTGTGCTGTCCAAGCATAAGATTACGCGCGGGGACAAGATCCGGACGTATAACTACAACCAGGACCGGGTGACAGATCACCGGGCGGGTATCGATGTGCATAACTTGCCTGATTTGATTGCCGGCGGGGAGTCGCTGGATAAGATTGTCGACGAGGTCAGGGATTGGCTTGTGTCGGGGGACATCGAGGCTATGATGGCTGATGAGGAGGTTGCTAACGCTGATGCGAAGAAGGCGCAAAAGTGATGCGGAAACAACTCTTGTGTAGAAATGTACTATAGTGTAAACTTGTTGAGTAAAGAAGACATGATCAAAGCAAGGTCGATAGGGGTCATGTGTTGAAGAGCCGGAACGAACTTTGATCTCGATGAGGACCATCAAAGTGAATATGAAGCAGGATACGCAGGAGAAAAAGGACAAAAAACAAGCTATCCATGGCATTATGTAGGACCGCGAGCCAACATACAATCCTGCTAATGAAAGCTAGGATCATACTGCTCGGCCATTGACTACAACGGACGCTGCTTGTTGAAAAACAGTCGCACTTTGCGTGCCTATGAAGGTCTGCCGTCCCCCCTGATTGCCAACAACTCGCACCACCTTAGTCACTACCAAGCGGTATATCGATACTCAACTCGCCGCCCGCCGCTATGTCGACTGATGAAAATTCCAGGAAATCGCATCGGTCGCAGTTGGCCTTAATCCCATCGTGGATAGTAACCATCCCAACCTCGACCCGTCTTGCAGATCGTCAAGATCTGGGGCCGCATGCTTGAATACGATGATCGCGGCTTTGCATCCGATGGATGACACTGGCAGAAGTAGCCAATGCCGAGCTAGAATGCCCCATCGCTTTCACAGCTTACATACCACCAAGTACATTCTTGTAAAGCCATTCGTCGAGACATAGAAATATTTGCACATATCAAGGGGGACCAGATGGTAAAGATTCAAAGTTTTTACATGATTGACTACATCAGTGCCAAATACAAGAGAGGGGATGTCATACAGAGACGGCATGACAGAGGAGTCCAATAATTTTCCGTGTCCGTCGCCCATTTTTGCCGTGTCCTCCCTGACTGCAATAAAAAGCCATAAAGACGCCACGCTATGGTCATAAAATAATGTACAACAAGTGGTGTGATAGGGGTACAGCAACATCGGAACGTGACCCGCGGACCAGGCAATGTCGTCAATGGCCCCTTCGTGAATGGTATACATAGGCACTCTCTCCCCTCCAGTCCAGGCCACGTTCCGAGATGCGCATTCGTCGAGCCGGGTATGTCCATCAAGCCAGTTGGCGTTCCCGTCTCATCATCTCCAGCACCCCCACGACGCCGTTCTTCCGAAGTCGCTCGAGGACGACGCGCATGCCTTCACGGCTCTTGCCCATCTGGTCCTGCGTCTTGCTCGAGGCAATGCTCTCAATGCTGCGTTGCACGCCGCGCGCGCCGAGTCCGCTCATCCAGCCGGGCATCCAGCGACCCTCCTTTTGCTCCGGCTGCCCGACGGCAGATGGCATCTGGTCCTTCTTGCCGCCACGCAGCCTCTCGCCGAGACGCGACTTGTAGACAAATGTGGTTGTCACATCGGTGGTCGCGTCCGCTGCTTCAGCGGGAAGGCGGAAATCCTGCTTCTCGACGACGGAGAGCACGTTCATGAAGCTGAGATTCTTGCTCTCTGTGCGCATCCAGCCCTCGCGCATGTCGATGACAGAGTTCTCGAGAACATAGCTCACTTTCTCGCTGGAGCCGCCGCCCGTGATGGAAGTGGGAAGAAGCTTGAAGACGGGCGCGGGCATACGGGACTTCTTCAGGTGGATGCGGGTGGTGTGCAGCCTGCCCGTCACCGGGTCGAGGCGGCTGTCGATGGTGTCGGTGCTGAGGACATGGGTGGAGAACGGGTTGAGCTTGGGTGAAGAGTAGCGGAGGAAGTAGGCGAGTGTCACGGTCGCGAAGGGGTGGGAGTAGGTGTGGTTCGTAGTGTGAGAGAGGACCATGTTGTCTAGGAGTATTCGGCTCGGTGGGTGTCTTGAAGAAGTAATCGTCGTGGCTTAGGGATTCGATGCGAGAAGGCGCTCACGTTCGTCGGAATGAAAGAGGCGTTGGCATTGAGAGCCTCGAGATGACAACTCAATGCACGTGTAAATATTGTTGTTTCGAGCGATGAGAAAGAGAAGAAATTCAAGCTCCGTCCGGAAGCTCGGCCACTCAGTCGTCGGTTTTTGTCGGGGTCGGGATTTGATCAGCACCAGTCGTGTCCGCAGTCGTAAATAGTGTGAAAAGGCGAAAGAATGCGAGAAATGAAGAAAAGGATGTGGCCGCTGTGGAAGAGGGGGTAGATGGTGACGAGGAGAACGGAGAGGAGGAGATGAGGAGGGGAGGGGGAGGAGAGAGCGGCTGTATGATGTAGTGCTCGTGCGTGTATCGTTCGATAGGTCGATGATTTTGGGGAAGAAGCTTCCCGTCCGGTGCGACTTTCTTTTTGGGTCTGGGTCCAGTGCCTCCTTCCCCGACTATACCGCACCGTCCACACCGGGTCCTTCCAGCCACTGAGAGGAGGCGCCAATTGGCTTTGTCTGCAGATGCTACGGGTTTTCATTGGCTGAGAGATCCCTTTGCGCCCGCTTTCCGTCAGACGAGCTTGGGCCGTCCGAGTGGCAAAATCACATGATGTGGAGTACACCGAGTTCACCGAGAGCTACACCGAGAGCTAAAGGGGACGAGCTGTTAGTCGTTGCTTTAAGCCTCACCTTGGCCCCACCTCGGAACCCGACCTCAGCTCAAAGGTGGAAGCTCGCTGCTCAGACTTTGGCTTTGTGTCTGAAACCCTCCACGTGTATGCCGTATGTTGGCTTGTGGGGAAACTTTTGATGATGGGAATAAACTTCCTATCTGTCCGGTGCTCCCCGCGGACCACGCCGCCTGCTTGATACTCGAAGACGAGTCTTACTGGTTGTCGGTTCTGTTGCGATGGTCCGAGACATCAACCATGATTGTTCCAGCGTGGTTGCGTGATGATACGAGGCCTCTATACGGAGTACCTACGGGTGGGGAGATTGTGGATATGGGAGTTCATGGAGAGCCGAGAGCCCTGTCCTGACCACAGCTTGGCTCTATGCTGGGCAGCCAGGGCGCATCGGGATGTTGCACTCAGGAGGTGATTGAGGGTGCTGTACACTGTACACCGTCGTTCTCACAGAACAACATACGAGAGAACAATTAAAGCAAATCATTCGGTGAGTCAACGTGGTAAGTAGCACATGTTCTTCGAATTGTAGTTAACAACCTTGAATTTGAAGCTAGTAATTGCACTATGATTCATGTTCCCAATCTACCTTCCCATACCCTGTTCTTTCACACTCCCATTATCGTACGTTATAACTAGCCTGACATGGCCTTAGTCCGCGATCGAAGCACTCTAGAACATCTATGAGCTTCGTTTGGCTGGCCCACATGCTGTCCTAATTTTCCTTCACATGTCCTACAAACTCCCGTCTACGGCGCGTTTGCGTCTCTCATATAAAGCGTTACGCTAGATACCGGCAGGGAAGCAATTCCGTTGAACGCCATCCGTCTGAGTTTGCCCGGGAGCCTTTTCGCACCTGAAGTATTAGCAACATCACCCAGACAATGTTTGTGATTGAGCCGATCCTGGCGCCACTGACTGAGACATGCCGAGGATCGCACCGACGCCATCCTCGTCCCCTTCTCTCACGAATACACCCTCGCTCGCGACTCTCCACCCCTGCACACCGCTGAACTGCACAAACTGCACCGCCATATCCCACGCCTCCTTGTCCGCCGCGTCGCCGCTCTCAAAGACGCTGAGGTCGAGCCAGGGACTGTCCGGGCTCGGGTTGAAGAGCTCCCGGAAGAGCATCGAGTAGGACGTGTTGCGTTCCATCCAGAGGTCGGCGAGATCGACGTTACGCATTTCGTCGGGGTCTGAGAGGATGTCATTTCGGGGGACGAGCTGGACGAAGAGGCGGTCGAGGCGCGGGACGTTTTGTACGAGGGTATTGAAGTGACTCGATAACGGGAAGATGCCGACGTAGGAGAGGTCGCGGATCGAGGGCGAGATCATGGGCTGGTCATTGGGGAACTCTTCTGCTCCTAGAAGAGCGCCGAGGATGGAGGGCGGACGTTTGAGGTAGAATTCGTATGTCTTATAGACGCGCGTTGAGGATCCTTCGTTGAGAAGTAGAGACTGCCAGGGGCGGATGCTGAATAGGTCACAGGGAACACGTTTCTGATGGACAGGCTCCGATTCAGCCAAGGGACTTGATGAATCTGTCACCGGTGCCTCTGATTTTGTCTCCTTTGTCCTTTTGTCTTTGCGCGAGAGTGATAGAACGTGCTGCGGCATGGAAAAGTTCCACGCATCCCCGAGGAAAAGCATGCGCGATAGCAATTGTGCCAGCACCCGTGGTGACGCGATCATTGTAAGTCGAGTGGGATCGATATGTTGGAACATCGTCGTCCAGAGCCAGTTGTAGTCTTCGCTATAAGAGGCCTTGTTCGCAAAGCCGGTTTCCATGAGAGTGGCACTGCTGGTGCCATCCGACATGCCGCCCATAGCATCTTCGACAAACATTGAGAGCGTGTTGACATAGTTGGTCAAGTTGTGCGCCCTGAGGAAAGACAAAAAGTCGATCGCGGACGCCGGGTCTCCCGTCTCTTCCATGAGCGGCAGCTCGAATCGGTCAACCGTCCAGACCACATGGCGGAACAGCAGAGGGAGAACGGCACCTCGCCATCGCTTGCAGACGAGGGAAGTGGTCTTGAGATCACGGTCGAAGAAGAGATTCTGCAGCATGAAAGAGCTCGGTTGATCGTGGAGTTTCGAGTCTGACGGCGCAGGTCGGTCCAGGTGGGAGAATATCTGGGATAGAATCTCGTTCGGGAGATCATTGACGGAGGTGGACATCTTTGCTTGCACTGCAGCAGAGGCTGTCATAAGATTCTCAAAGAGGCAGAAGTTTTCTCGATGAATTGACGCGAAGGAGCGATGTCGAACGAAGTACACAATATAGGCTGGAGAGCGATGTTTCACGGAAAAGTCCCGACCGAGGCAAGTTTCAAGTACAGATGAAGCGATGAAACTGCCCCCGGAGAGACGATTTGATAGTTCGCTGAAGGAAGGACCTAAAACTCTGAGTTCAATCAAATACTGAGGATAAGGTACTGCAGGAGAACAAAATTGACGATGCTATTATTGATATTCTGCCATTTGTTGAGATGCAGCTCTGAGGTTGCCTGACCGGGACCTGGATAGGGCGATATGTCACCGCGGGGTCCTGTTCCGTTTGCCCCGCCACGGTTCGCCACAGTGCACTCCGCTCCACAAGAGCTCTGAAGGTACGATAAGGTAAGATAACGATAAGAGCTCCAGGTTCGGAGCTTCGGGCCTTCATACTTTCTTCCCACGGCATCAGTTCCAGGTTGTTGCCTCTAATTCTGACATCTGGAATTCTCGAGGGGCAAGCGCTTGTAGGAGCCGTGGGTTTGATCAGTTTGCGAGCGAACTAATCAGCGGACCATGCCTCGAGGTGTCTGGCTGGGAAACGGCCAACACCAATCTTAATGGCATCGCAGAGTGCTGGAAACACGCCAGCCGGCGAATCGACGATACACCGGGGCTGCCCAAAGATCCAGTCAGCACTTACATACCAGCTTGTTCTTTGTACTGAGAGGCTTGCGTAGGTATTTGAATCGGATGCAAGCTACATGTGGCTTTCTTTTCCTCAAACAACAATGATACAGCCTCTCCACCGCTGTGCTGCTGCGGCGTATGACCTTGGCTGCGTCGGGAAGAAGCCAGTCAACTCTAAGAAAGATTATTGCGTAGAACGCGATGGGAATCATGCTCAACCTCTAAACACTCGCCTTTACTTAAGCGGCTACTGATTGATAACCGATCCCGATGCCGCTCTACTCATCTACCGTTAACAAACATATGATCAGACCCTCTCGACTAAGCTATGACAAAGGCGGGGAAAGCGGGGATCTTGGTGGGTGGGCGGTTCGGGGGAAGTGGTGATGGTGGCACGGGATGACATCGTCCTGACGGGGATCCACGGCCGAGGAGCGCAAGGAGCGTAGGCTTGTTTGCTTTGGGTGACCCTATATTACTAGAATGGACGCTCGCGAGATCTGGTGGCCAGCCAATCTAGTTACCTACCATTGGATCTTGCAATGCCGAATGCCCATCCCATTTCGCAACCCCACACCTCGTCGCGCGTACCAAAGCCTATATATACGCTGTGACCAGGAGGTCTCTTCAGGACTGACTCCATTGCAATCCATTGTCTAGCTCTGCCTTAGTAATTAGAAAGAAACCATGGCGTCCAAGAACCACCAGAAACCGCCCTTCCGCGCGGAGCACATGGGCTCGCTTCTGCGGCCCAAAGCCCTGACTGACAAGCGCGTCGCCTTGGACGGGAAGAAGGCCGTGGAGATTGCAGACGACAAGGAGCTCAATCGCCTCGAGGAGGAGGGCGTGCGCGAAATTGTCAAGACGCAGCTGGACCTTGGCTTCCACGCCATCAACGATGGCGAGTACCGCCGCCATCAGTTCTGGGGCAACTTCTTTCCTGGTTTGGAGGGGTTCGAGGAGGTTGACACGCCAAGCTGGGATATCTTTCGCATGTACGTGCCGGATATTGCGGCATTCAGTAAGTCTAGGGCCATGAAGACTCGTCATTTGGGATGGGCAGACTGACGGGAATTGAACACCAGTTGAGAGCGATCACAAGCCTGGCGAGTCCATCCTCTGCACTGGCAAGATCAAACACAAGGGTAGCACTTATCTGAGAGAATGGGAGTTCCTCAAAAGCAACATTCCCCCTGAGAGCGTCAAGGAGGCCAAGTTGACCTTACCCGCGCCCGAGTGGTATCATCTCCGCTACCAAAAAGGGCACGCCTATCCCAAGGACGTCTACGCCAACGACGAGGAGTACTTTGCCGACATCGCCAAGGCATACCAGACCGAGCTCCAGGTCCTCTACGACCACGGCGTCCGCAACATTACAATCGACGACCCCAATTTGGCGTGTAAGTTAAGCCCCTTGGGACTCTTCCACATCGAATCCTTCCTCGAATCACGGTTAGCTGACAGGGTATGTTGGCTAGACTTTTGTTCGGAAAAGATGCTTCAAGGCTTCAAAGACGCAGGCGAAGACTCAGATGCCCTCCTACAGTCCTACATCAAGCTCTATAACGACTGCATCACCTCGCGCCCGGCGGACATGCACCTCGGCATCCACCTCTGCCGCGGCAACTTTGCCTACTCCCGACACTTCTCTGAGGGCGGCTACGACCGCATCGCCTCCCGCCTGTTCAACGAGATCAACGCGGACACCTACTTCCTCGAGTACGACACCGACCGCGCCGGCGGGTTCGGGCCTCTGAAGGAGCTGCCTGCACACAAGAACGTCGTGCTGGGCGTCATCACGTCCAAGTTCCCTGAGCTCGAAGACGTCGAGAAGCTGAAGGAGCGCGTGTTCCAGGCTGCTGACTATGTCGGCCAGGGCGCAGGACAGACTCGCGAGGAGGCGTTGAAGAGGATTGGGGTTAGTCCGCAGTGTGGATTTGCGAGCCACCACCTGGGCAACTCGGTTTCGCATCAGGATATGGTCAACAAGTTGAAGCTCGTGAGGCAGTTAGCCGATTCCATTTGGCCCGGGGAGCCTTGAGGGCCTTTTGGAAATTGGTGTGAGCGGTGACGTCGAAATGATTTTCTTGGGGATGAGAAGCAGGTGTGCTGGAGGGTATCTTGATATGCTGTTAAGAGATTTTGCGATTGCTCCAACAATGTAGCAGTAGCTTTCAGCTGTAGAAATATCGAACAATCATATCGGAACCCCTCTGCGACATCGTACATCGACGGATTGTCGACCGACTAGCGCGAAGTTCTCTAAAGGACAAGTGAAGCAGTGTTGATCCTCATCATGGCAAGTAAGGAGACAGCGTGCAGACTCTACTCGAAAAAAAAGAAAAGAAAGGGTATCATTTGAGCTCTAACCTCGATCAACGCACGCCAAACTCCTTTTTATCGCGCGACCATGTGCCATGCCATGTTGCTCGAAGTTCACCACTCTAGCCGTCTCGAAGCTCTCTCTTAGCCTAGAACCGAGCTACCTCACGCAGTCAAGGGCTGCGGGTTATTCCCAACCGTCTTATACAGCTCCCTGAGCTCGAACTCCTCATGCCCACCCTCAGGCACCTCACCCACCACACGTGCAGGCTGGCCCGCGACGACGCTGAAGCTCGGTATAACCATATTCGGCGGCACCACAGTGCCCTCGAGGATACGAACATAGTCCTTGACAATCGCAAACTCGCCAATCACGCTGTCGCGGCCAATGTGGATGTGATTCCCGATCGAAGCGGCCTGGATGACGACGTTTTGCCCGACGAAGACGTGGTCGCCCATGCGGAGGGGCATGTAAGTAAAGGCTCTGTGGGAAGAAAGAGGTCAGCTAGTGGCCGTTACGTTTTCCGCCGTCTTGAAATATGACGCACCCTTTATACATTCGTCCGGGGGCCGGAGGAGTGCGCCCCTGGACAGGAAGCAGTATCGACCGATGGCGACGGCTGTGCTGTTGGCTGGGGCGCCGCCTGCGGAGGGCTGTGCAGAGCGGGCGAGGTCGCCGCGGATCATGACCTCGGGTTGGATTACGGTCTTTCCGCCTAGCATGATGTTTTGCGTGCCGACGAGAGTCGCTTTGCGGGCGACCTTGTTGCCCGTGTCCTGTATTTTTGCGCGAAAGAGTTAGTCGGCGGTTTCGGTCCGTGGATTATGTTGAAAGGGGGATGGATCGCGAGGAGGGAGGGCGTACAGTCTCAATGTAGTCTCCTTTTGCCGGCCTGCGCGACATGGTGGGCTGCTGGTGGAAGCGATCGGAGGAGCATCTAGCTTGAAGCTGAGAAAAGAGTTGAAGCTGGCGTTCGCGTGCCAGCGCGTTAGGGGTGTGACGTTGGAGCTTCCGTCCCGACTGTCGGGCGGGTCAGTGCGCCCACAGCCGTAGCGGCGCGGCCGGCTGATTAAAAGGGGTCCAGCTCAGCTCTGTCACAATCTCGGGAGCTTTATGAGACACATGCCTTTTGTGGTCTGTTATTTTCTGTCACGAGGTACAAAGATTCATGAAGCCCTGCCTATCTATTTCCCAAAAAACAGTAGTCATCTGATTTTTACAATTCAGTAAAATAGTATTATTCCTACACCTCTTCCAGCGCTCTGCATATTCACTTACAGCAAGATGCATAGCATCATCGACTCTTTCTGACCACAAACAAGTGAGCAGAGAGAGAGATCCTAGGTGTGCTTTATAAGTAGGCATGCATGCCTGTCGTATTCTTCAAGTAGACAAACAGCCAATTCAACATCTACTGATAACCATTCACTCAACACTTAATCACTCCCCGATTACTTCATTTCCGATGAATTTCTCCATGGTTAAGGAATTTAAGTAACCTAACCTGATCTTAGTCACGATGGCAAAAGCGAAGATGCGGCCAGTGTGGATTGAACACACGACCTTCAGATTGATTGAATGAAGTTTTCCAAGTTCTCTTTCGAGACCCGCTTCAGTCTGACGCTCTCCCAACTGAGCTATGTCCGCCGTTCATCTTCGGATGTGGATCAAACCTCTGAGTCTAGTTGATTCCACTCGCGAACCGTGTTGCTACTACTCGCCGCTGGCGTTGAGGGTCCTAACAATGTCAAGATAGGCCGACACTATTAGTAGAGATTCAAAGAGGTAAGATAGGTCAAAGTTCCCCTAAACCATCTCTCGTCTACCTATATATAGATTTACTGTACCTTAGAGGCATGCGCATCTTAGGCATTGTAGAATGAAGAATAGCAGGACTCTAAGGGAGCAATTAGCATAATAGTTCAGCCTGAACTACCTGGGATACTTTTTTTAAAATTAAAAAAACCAAAAAAAAGAGTGCACCACCGGTGTGGCTACATCTCTTGGCGGTTATTATAGTGCCCATGCTGGGATCGTATGCGAACTCGAACTCGGAGCCTGTTGATTAGGCTGAAGGGGTAATTGATTGTCGACCATTCCACCACCTAGCTAGTTTGACTTAACTAACCGACCTAGGAAGGCGCCTGCTGTGCTGGTGACAGGAGCGGAATTGAAGGTGTGTATATAGGTTTGGTGTAGTTTGTAGCATTTTGTGTGGTTGTGGGTGAATATACGAACATGCGATGGTTCACTGAGAGGTAGATCTGTAGACCAAGTAGGCAGTCCTCCCCAATAATGTGGGGAAGGAGTCATCTTTCAGTGTGTGACAGATAGATACAGGGAGCGATTTGATATACGGCGTATGGAGTGATCATAATCTAGTCACTAATACGATGTTGTTGACTCGCAGCGTTTGGGCCTGTATACTGCTCGGATAGTGAGTAGCAAGGTACGCTGAACGGTGATTATTTACTGTAATAATAGTGCCTAGTAACTACAACATGTATAAAGTTTACCGTGAAGTGATTAGAAACTTGTTGTCATTTTCCAGTACAAACATGTGGCCAAGAATGAAAACATTGGTGAGAATACCGAGACGAGGATAAGATCTTAGTCAGAGTGTCAGTTGTGACCCGATTTACACCAAGCTGTAGTACCCAACACGAATACCGCGTGATCTCAGAGCGTCCGGCATCAACCTCGGATCAGAGTTGATTACATCTCTTGTCTCTCGACTCCGATACCGAGCAAAGTTCCACGGATCATTGCCCGTCCTCACAGCCTCAAGCCTCTCCCACTCTGGCGGGTCTTCGCCAAGTCTCGGGTCCTCCTTTGTCGTTTTGTCCTCGGTAACTGAAAAGAAATGCATGGAGTCAAAGAACCCAGACTCCCTGGCCATCCGGACCCTCCAACCCTCTGGCAAGGGTCCGAGAAGTGCCTCTGTGTCCATCAGACCGTGAGTGTACGTCGCTCCTACGACCCTGTACTGTTGCTTCTCCGAAGTCGAAGCTGGATCTGGTCGCACCAGCAAGGGTGACGGACAACCCAGCAGGACTACAAGCTTGTCCCCGATTTCTGGCCGCGCGTGAGATGTACCCATGTACCCCGTATCCGTCTTGATGAAGTACCGATGCCGTACGCGGATGAAGTTGAGCGATTCGTGAGAGACTGCGTCGCCTTTGGTATCGATAAACTCCCTGCCGTAGAGATCCGCCGCCTCGGGCACCGTGAGGAGACTGTTGCACTGCGGCCACCTTTCGATCATGTATCCCAATCCGAGAAGGGTGACAAATGCGTCTATTGATCTCTCGTTCGTTGGTGCGTATCGCTCTGTTGAGAGTGCTTCTGCCTCCCAAGTTTTCACAGCGGCAAGGAGACCGTCGGAGGCAGGGGGTGACTTTTGACCTACGAAGGACACGGTGCCGCAGTGGACTCCTGAAGCCTCCATGACTTGAACATCGGTCCCATCACTATCAGACCTGAAGCTGACTTCTGCGGCTGAAGCGCCGGCCGCATAGAAGATATCGGCATACGGAAGCCGCACTGCTCGATCAACAGGAACCGACCAGTCTGGGACCCAGGTAGGCCCCTTAATCTCACGAGCGTCGATGTTGCAACGGTCGAGAAAGTCCAGCCTCTCTAGACACTCGATGTATGCCTTGCAGAACTGGCTATATACCGTCTCAACTGGCAGGGAATAGTCCGGAGTGATACGCTCCCTAATTGCCGCCGGAGCAGCCCCCAATGCTCCGTAGATCTTGTCCCGGGGATTCGCGCATCCTTTCCAGTTGAGCGTCTGTAGCTCTCGGAAGAACGGCTGATTGGAGAATGGCAGCATCACCTCGACGGCGTCAAGAATCAACCCGCGCACCTCATTGCTCGGAAGGAACTTCTTGTCGCTGGCACAGAAGATTGCGCGACGGAATAGAGATAGTGAAATACTGTCGGGACCGCATAGCATGAAAGAGCGCTCGTCAGCTAGACGAACCTCCTGCCACACCCAGAGACGCTCGAACCAGGAACGCTGCAGTAGGCTGGTGATGGATCGCCAGGTCTGCTCGTCGTAAGGGAGTGGAACCGATGCGCGAGCCAGCTCTGGGTTACTACATCCGGGCGGATTTGTCCTCCACGCCCCGCGCTCGGTGTAGACGGCCTGCTCGCCAAGATGGCGTAAAGCAGCCATAGCCATCTTGCTGTCCTCCATCTCAGGACCCAGCCAGACGACGACGTGACTTGCGCGGCGGTAGATGTCGCACATGATGTGGACCTGATTGTTGCGCTCCTCGAGGTCGGTCTGGTTGATGCACAGGGCATCGATCCACATGCGCCTGGGAATATCGCGGTATCGCAGGTGACGAAGCGCCGCGGCGAGGTTCGGCCTGATGCTGAGGCTCGACGAAGCTGCGCCTGTGGACGGAGCAGTAGGTTCCAGGACCAGAGCATCTTCCTCGCTTCCCTCGGGTGCCCAGACGTACGATAGCCCTTCGTACTCGAGCTTGTTGTCGTCGAAGCTCACATTCGGGTCGACGCCTGTCACAGGGTGCAGCCATGATGTCTCGTAGGGCTCTTCTGGTTCATATTCCTTGATGCGCTCAAAAATAAAGCGGCCGTCGAGACAGACGCGGACGATCCAGTCTGCTGGTAGGGTCTTTTGGATTTCATCGCGGCTCGGGGGCAATCTGATTGCGGATGGTCGCCGTGGTGCTAGAGCAACGTGATGGAACTTGATGCGGATTCTCTCCTGGAAAGTACCAGGAAGAAGCTCAACGACGCGTATTTCCTTCGCGGTCCAGTCGAGATCACGATACTGGTATCTTGGCTTATCAACTGGGCTCTCCATCTTGAATTGGTTGGGATAAGGACTGGCCGATGGCATTGCGTGATCAGAAGAAGACCCGGAGCTTGGGCGACAACTAAGAGAAATACTTGATCACTTGACTGGCCAGATACAGTGCGTTTTGCATGCTGGGATCATTCACGACACCAAGGCAGGCTGGCCTTTAGTAAAGAGGGGGTAGATACATTTTGCAAGCGATACCATGCAGCTAGCAACGATCCTTCATAGCCTGCATATCACCACCACATTTCGAGATGGCTTGGCCAATGAATGGCTTACCCCAAAGTCTTGTTCTGGTAGCCCAATATGCGCCTGGAACAACTTAGTGCATCATGCACCTTTGGGTAGCGACTGGTCACTGCGGAGTCGGTAAGCACTACGCAGCACAACAGTTGGCATAGAGCAGGCTTCAGTCACCGGATCAAAGTCTCCAACAATGTGTGTGTACCGGCGGCCTCTAAGGATACTGTAGATCTCTCCTATTACGTGTTGTCACACCTCTGAACGATCGTTGACATACGACACTATCTCACACTTGTCTTCAAAGTAGAAAAACTTATTGCAGCCACTCAAACTCGTTTTTCCTGAGCAACTGAATCTGCCTGAGGGTCACTTGATAATTTCAAACTCGCAACGGCGATCACTCTGATGAACTTGACTTGGAGGGGATACTTCGCTCAGAGGAACTCGGAAAGAGCTTTAGCTGCGATCGCATGGGAAGAACACGAATAGTGGTGATAGATTCTTAGTTTTCTTTTTAGTTTTTTTTTTTTAGTTTTTTGTCACGCTATGGAAACATCATGGCTTCCCAAGGCCAGCCAGTTAAGTATGATATTGAGGTCTCACTTTGGGACCATACCGAAGTGTGATGTATTCATATGGCGGGTTCTTCCTCACCTAAATAGAAGATTATCTCCCAAGTGCTTTGGAAGATACTCACCCGCGGCAGATTGTTGTATACATGTGGACAGCCTGGGCTCCCTCTCTGGCTGAATCTATTGTTAAGCCTTCTAGGCAACAAGCTATTGAAACATGATTAGATCCGTGTGCTTAAAATATGATGCTCCACGTGGAAGATGACTTACACCAGCGCAGGCCATATCGCCACGGGCAACGCAAGAGAGCTCGTTGACAACACCAGCGGTGTCTCAATCCTTGGCGACGAGCTGTTGCATGGCAGATTAGAATCTTGTGAAGGTAATATAATACTTCATGGGTGACTACTTACACCGGCACAGGCGATGTCGCCACGAGCGACGCAGAAGATCTCGTTAGCGAGCTGCTCCATCTTGGGATCGCGTTTCTCGACGAGCTTAGGCGCGGGATATTGTCAGTGAAGCTCTATGTGTCTTTTTGATTAAGGCAGAAGAATGCTTACGCCGGCACAAGCCATGTCACCACGGACAACGCAGGCAAGCTCGTTGGCAAGCTCAGCCTCGGAGCGCTTGGAGACAAGCTGAAGGTGTCGTTCATCATTGTGTTCTCTGAGACGTCTGGGTGGGTATTCCGTACTCTGGCACATGCCATATCGTCATAAGCCACACAGGCGAGTTCGTTGGCGACGGTGTCAACGGTATACATCTGCATGTCATTCAATGTGACGAAATATACGATGCTTGAATTACACCTACGCGGGCAGAGCTGGCGGGAATTGCAATAGCGGAGGCAACAATGCTGGTGACGAGAGCCACGGAGAAGTACATTTTGTCAATGTTGGAGAATTGATTCAGCGAATGAGGTTTGGTCGAAGGTGATCTTGCTTGGCGCTTGCTGTTGCTACTAAAAGGATACTTAGCTTCAGCTTATGTTCTACGTCTATAACATGTCACCAAGTCTGCAGAGTGCACCCCAGCATTCTTCTGTAGATGCAGGCTGAGGGAAGTGAGGCCGGTAATACTGGACTCCCGGAGTACGGCAATCCTCACTCGCGAAAATGGTTGGCCTTACCGTAGTGTTCTCAAAGTAAATCTCAACCTCTTCTTCGGCTCGATGGACCTTGCGGAATGTAATCTTAAGGAAAATCTGCAAAGGGAAATACAACTGCTGCAATAGTACTTTTCCGTAATGTCTTCGCTGCATTTGCGACTTTGAAGAAAAAAACTAGCAAAAAAGTCTGGATCAAATTACACATGCGCATATCGCAACGCCCGACTGAGTTATACACCCAATCAAATCGAAACCATGGACACTCCCTTTGGGATGCTCCTTCACGGAGGTGCATCAGAATCATGGATAGGGGATGACGTCTCATGCCACCACCAAAGCCTTCTTGAAGAACTTGGTAGAGAAAGCCGAGGAGCGGCTACTTACGGGCTCCAGAGCCATAGACGTAGCGACTGAGGTTGTGGCAGAGTTAGAAGACTTCCCGAGTTCAATGCCGGCAAGGGAGCTGCCGTCAACCGAAACAGCGTTCACGAGGTGCGAATCAGACTCTCCCACAACACGGCTAATATCAAACTAATTATCAATAATCTCAAGCTCGAGGCTGGAGTTATCAACGGCAAGACGGCGACATACCGAGCTGCTGCATGTCTCCAAAAGAACAAAAATCTTATCAAGCTCGGGAGGGCCATGCTTGACTCTGTGGATACCACTATTCCCGTCTTCATTGTAGGAGAGGGAGCTGGCTAGCTCGCCTGCCGTCTTGGATAGGATATGGTGGACAATCGTTTCTTCATAACAGAGGCGCATGTATTACTGGCGAAAGAACAAGACGGAAGTCCTCGAACACGGCACCGTTGGCGTACTTGTTCTAGACACACATACTCGGCTGCGGCCAATTCGACCGTAGGTATGATGTTCAAACATGCTGGCAAACTCGGCGATACAGTCATCCCGGGTGCTGGACTCCATGCCGATCAACAGACCGCCGTGGCATGGTAGGTACTTGTCTTTTGCGTTTGTTTCCATGGCTGGTCTTGCTATCTGTAAATAGCAGTGGTGGTGGCGAAGCCATTCTGACGTCTATGCTGGCTATTCGCGTTGCGAACCTCTACCATAGTGGGCTCAAACTTGATACCGCTGTGGACAAGGCCATGTGGGATGCCAGGGACTCTGCCCATCTCTCGTGGTGTAATCGCGATCACGACAGACGGCATGCGGACGGCACACTGCAATAGCAGACTCTTCACTATCGAATCATCGAAATGTATCTATGGCTTCAAATATGGGTTGATAGGCTGCACAATGCCTGTTACCGCACCTCTATGCTGTTGTGAAGACGTTCTGGTCCGAGTCGGGGTAACAAAGCATCCAACGCGGCAATTTCAGCTCACTTTCTGCCTCAAAGAAGTCGATTTCATTACGATAGATTGAAAAAAAAGGGAGGATTTATTTGAGTCGCTTAGGCATGCCTTCAAAGCCTTGTTGAGTCTCGACGGCGTCGATAAGGTGGCCATGATGACTTTTGCAGGTGGCAAGGGCGGTTACGTATTCGCCATTCGTGGCACGGGCAGCATGTCTCCGACATTAAATGACTTGAAGCTATCGGGGAATCTGGCTTTCAGAGCTCATATCGAAACTGAGAACACGGCCAAGGCGTTGTTGCATGTGGGAGATTTCTACGAGCTGCCCGTGCCCCGGAGCTACTCCGAATTTCTCTTGCCCTCGGCCATTGAATTTCGGGCTATCGTCGCCGGGTTGTGGGGCGCCCTAAGCCGCGGCTTGCGGATGGCCTTACAGACACCGCTGCACCGGGTTGTCAACGCGGATTCATTCCCTGGCGATCTCATCTTGCTCTGCTTCACTCATAGTGAACACTGTTAGCCCAACCCTGCACCTTTCCAGTCCGAAAGCAGCGGCCAATGGAGTCTCCCGAGCGCGTTCGGCCGGAGGATTACGGATCCCGAGCCTCTCTGCCTCACGACCGAGACGTTGCGGGCCAAACTAGAATGCCCTCAAACGAATATTAGATAGACGATGAGAGTGAGTACGACTAAGAATTTGTGTGCTCAGTTGATTTTTGATTCTTCGTTCTCTTTAGTCATACTTCAACTTCTTATTAGCTTCATCTTAGACTGGATGTTGAGTGTGGCGATCGCGTCTGAACCATATCAACCACTTTACCGTTAACTCTGGTAGAAGAATGACTATATCATTGAAAAATATCAAGAGGAGCGCTGGAAGATCCAAGAATTTCGGATTTTACCTAAGTATTGCCGGTCAGTCTTTCGCAGTTTAAGTTGCCAAGAGGTCATTCTCAACGAGACTGCCATCCCAAGATTATGTATCGTTGACACTAACACTGACTTAGCCATCTTAGTTTCCAATTTCGTGAGTACCTTGCTCCTTAGACGTCCTTCATGCTCGTAAGTGTGTTGACAACAAATACGTGCTTAGGTCACAGCAGTCGACTCTGGACTGTCATCATCATCACATCTAGCCATCGCCTCTCATTTCGATAAGACTAAGGTCTCAACATGGCTAGTAAACGCCATCCTCGTCTGTTCCATTACTGTGCAGCCTCTTTATGCCACACTTTCCAATTGCATAGGTCGTCGTATTATCTATTCCTCAACCGCCTTCTTGTTTCTTGTCGGCTTGTGTCTGGCAGTATTCACAAATTCTTGGACAGGATTGATATTAGCGAGATGCGTTTGCGGCCTCGCTGTTGCCAGACTGATGAATATGGGTATGCTCTTCAGCACAAGTCTCTGTAAGCACGGTTTATATCAAATCCATGGCCAGCTAACAATCCGATAGGATCTATTGTATTGACAGACATTGTCGGTCTTAAGAATAGAGGCCATTACCAATCGCTCAACTACATCAAATATGGAGCTGGGTCCGCGTGGGTATACATTGCCTTTCTGTTTCACTTTCGTTGACTGAGACAAACCTAAATCTCCAGGCTCGGTTCAATCTCCGGGGGTGCCATTGTGGAGTACTTTGGATGGAGCTATGTGTACAGACTTCAGTTTCCATTCTGTCTGCTTCTGCAGTCATGGTGTATTTATGAATCCCTTCAAACATTAATAATTCCTGCAGAGAGACTTTAAGCCAGGGAAAAACTATGCCTTACGAACCTGCTTTAGATGTATGACTGGAGAGGCTCGCTGTTACTTGTAAGCCTGGACTTAAGTTTCCCGCTTCTGTCAAAATCTTACTGAACCAAACCATAGATGATATCACTGCTTTGCCTGGTTTTCGTTCTTGGAACGGGAGGTAACGTGTTACCTTGGATAAGTCCATTGATCCTTACGGCTTTGGTACTATTTGGTGCAGTGTCCTTTGTCTTGCTACGCGTAGAGGCAAAAGCGCCGTACCCGGTTCTCCCTCCTTTTATGATTCAGTTCCCTTACAGAAATAACCTGGGTAGCGCCATGATGTTTTCAATGATTAACTACTGTATAAGGGAATCTTATATATAACACCAAGATGTTCGTTCCACGTAGCTGAAGCTGAACCCCTGACCTCTCACTCAGGTCATGTACAACATTCCATCCTTTTTCAGGCTGTCCGACTGGAGTCAGCGGGCGAAGCAAGCGCCCATGTTGTCATACCATCGATTGCATTCACGGCAATGAGTGCAGTCGCAGGAACGACGATCACATGACTACGGATGCCCAGGCCTACATTGCGCGTGAGCCAAGTGCTCTTACTCGAGGGTGCCTTGGGGCTTGTAGCTATGGCTACTGCCCTACCAGCAATCAAAGCCTCAAATTCTTTGTATAGCCTTTGACTCATCATGCCTTCTCTTGGGATTGGAATGATGACCCCCAGTGCGCTTTTGACGCTGCTAAGTCTTGGTGAGTAACGTGATTATGCCGCTATGAATGGAGGTTTTATTATGGTGAGATCCCTAAGCGTCTTCATTGCCACTTTTCTGAGTACGACACTCATACAGAATATGTTTCAGGGTGTATTGATAATGATGAGCCTGGACGAGGAGACAGCTAAGGTATGCCCTTGATCGCACCTGACACTAAGGTAGATAATCAAAGAACTACTTGACTGACTTTGAATTCAGAAGGCTGAGGCGACGCGACTAAACATCGACAACCTGCGGACATTGAGTGGTGATATGCAGTCCAAAGGTAAGTGCCACCTGCAAGTTCGGCAGTGGTTTGAGTATTATACCAATGCTAACGAAGAACAAGTCATGCAAGCTTATCAGTTGGGATTCGCTGTCCTCTTCAGTGTCCATCGTATCTCTTCCATGGGCACCGCTTTGGCATTTTCTTGGGTTCCGGAGGGACGTTTGGACAGACCTTCAAATCGTGCTGAAGATTCTAATGCAGTGGTTGAAATGGTTGATCTCCTCGATGATGAAGAGACCGATGACGGTCTATGATGAACCCAATATCGGAGAACGTGTTCAGCGACCCCTACAGAAACGCTAAACGATAGTGTTTTTTTTTCTTTTTCCGCTGATGGATGTTACCCGCCGCTGTTTTAGTTCAGGCTGTCTAGGGCCCTGGGCTCCATGTCGGTTCATTCCAGATAGCTACCCTCTGTTATCTTACCCAAGTCGGTCCTCTTCGATCAAGCTTTTGACCTTCTTCTTTACATTATCTGCATTCTGTCTATGCTACTTCTCTTCTAGCGTAGCATGTAAGTGATCAAGTCGGACGCGCTCCGAGCCCAATTGGCGGCTGCCCGAAGCTGGGTGCCTACTGGACAAAAAGTCGACTGCGGTGAAAGACTAACACCGCCAAGTTTCAACGAAGTGAAAGCGAGAACGAGCAGGAGAACGAGAACCATATTTTCAATACGTGGCGAGGCTATTAGCTTCAGTCTTAACAGTCTTCTGAGTCTCGATCTAAGAACAAGTTTATGGGCTCGTTGTTCCACCTACAGCAGTAGCACCGTGATCTAGATTTAGCAAGGCAATGATAGCCCCCTCCCCAACGAGTAGTACGGGACACCGCCCTCTGCAGCCCCAATTTCCGTGTCCTAAATGCCCGAGCGAAAGCCAAGGATGGGAACCCGATACCGGCGGGGCAGATCCGAGGGTTTTCGGGTTGCGCGGGACTCGGGAGTAACGGCGCTCGCGATGGAGCTTCGTGTCACGACAGTGCGGCCCGTGTTTTCGTATTTTCAGCTTTGGTGTCTCAGACGAGTCTCCCACTGTCTCGTTGTAGCATGGAACCGAAAACTTCTATCAGGTTCATAATATTTAACATGTACACAAATACGACGGATAGGATGCCTCGTACCGTAAAGTATGTTTAATTGCAAACTCATGCTTGGCAAGGAATGGACCCAGCTGCAGCCACTGTACGGAGTACTCCGTGCCAAACAACTTGCAACAGAACTTCGGAACATGCCCGCGCTGAGCAAACGCACAAAGAACTCACTATTCTTGGCCGTTCGAAACCTCCCTCAGGATCGACCTCAGTTGCGGTCCATTGCTCACATACCTTTTCTGTACGAATTGGTGAGTATCCAGCTGAGGCTTATGTAGATCTTTCCGCAACACGTCTTCCAAGTTTGATATCAGACAACGAATCGCAGTTTTTCGACCTGAATCGCTCAGCCCTAGCCCAAGGCTTAGACTTAGAGCCCAGATCTTGGCTCTTTTGGGCTGATTACTTATTCCAGGCACCTCAGTCTGGGCTGGTCCGCATGAGTCAAAAGTAGACCTGACTCGCCTCCAGGCCGCCTAACAGGGTTTCAGCGCCTAGTAAGGTAGCCTGTAGGACTGTGTTTTCAGAGATACTTCAGAATGACCCGCCTATGCCACGGTCTATCGTACCTACAACTTACAAGAGAACAAGGCAGCTGAGCGGTCCACTCGGACGGACATCGGGAGGCCATAGTTGGCGCTGGCCGATTTAGTCAGTGCTTGCGCTGTAGAAGCGGGCTTTGCCCACTGGAGTAAATTGGTGATGTTTTCCATTGCGTACCATTCTATCCTATTCTGGCAATGCTTTCCACTAATTACTTTTGTGCAGTCTCTAAAACCCACTCTCTGACCGTACGGAGTCGTTCGTCTCAGAATGAGCTCCCGATGAAGAGGGTCGTTTCCTGTACGCGAACATGTGGTCGATATTGAGGACTCACTACACCGTACGCCTACCTGCAATAGTGACTTTACCATGTGCTCAGTACAAAACCGGAAGACAGGATCTGATGGACAGGCAAAAAGCCTGTACTTGGCAAGGTCTTGGTGCCACTGGGTTCACTTGAACACCCTTTCAAGGACGGGCACTACTTACATGTACTTTTGATACGCACGCCACATACCATATCTTGGTCAACAGCTCACCGTACAATTGTGATCTTTCTGGTGGGAGGTTGCCGTGACTGCCGATGTGGTCGCCACAATCTCTGTGCATGCGGGTGGATAAGACGTGGAGAGGAAAGTCGGATGGTATCTTATTCCTAGAGCTCGCAGGGTCCTCTTCTATCCGACTTGACCGGCTCCCACCCGGGGTGATTTCATGACCGCAAAAATCAACTGATTCGTGCACCCCTAAGACCTACTAGGTCTCCTATTGCAATTTATACGGCAGACTCTGGTTGGGTCAGAAGAGCCTGAGAAGGGTTCGTTAATCTAGACTCCTTGCTGGGCCCATCAACGAATCTCCTTGGCGTCGACTCCTTGACCGAAGTCTAGCGACATGAGTACATGTGATCACTACCAGGTAGTTGCCTTCACGTGAAAACTACAAGAGGAAGCGGCCTCCAGTGTCAGTGTTAAGGACCTCGGTCACTCACCCAACTTTTCTTGTCACACCGCTAAACACAACTGCTGAGTCGAAGGTGAGTAACTCCGATGGCGCTTCAAAACTCCCCAGACCTCAAGAAGCTTATCGTATAATACCACAAACAACTAGCCCACAATGAAGATCACCGCCGTCATCTGTCTTGTTGCAGGCTATGTCAGCCTCGCTGCCGCTGCCGGTTGCCAGGTCGAGCTCCTCAACATCAACCAAGCAGTCGTAGGCACAGGTTGCGTGGAAATGAACTACTACGCCAACATCTACGATTCTACCAAACGCGCAGGCTACACCGTCAATGCTAATAGCAACTGTGGTCTTAGCTTCGGCAACATTCAAGTTATCCCTGATGGTTATTCTTTGCGACAAGCGGGCTACTGTTAAGTGGGACATACTGCTGGTATTGATCTTGATTATCCTCATAGAGAAGACAATGAAACAATCCTTAATAAAAGTATCTCAATCCTACTCAAGAGCTGTATCTTTGTGTGCGCTTCTGTTGACCAATAGTGTGTCGGCTAATCATTGTCATCAACTTCGACTCCTGTGAAAATTGATTTGCTTGCCGTCAAGTCGCCAGGATGACTGCATGTGTACGGAGTATAAGCATTCCCACACACATTTGTTATTGATTACGGCACATGTCGCCAAGATCACGGGCGGAACGACCGTGTGGTGGCACGCTGTGTAATCGACTCCCTTCTTATCTTGGCTCGTCCAATGTTGCCGACGCTGCTAGCAATGTATTTGCGGTTGCCCGCCAGCCAGAAGTGGGTTTCGGATCCCCAAACACTAAAGGCACTTTGCAGCGCTCAAAGTCAAAATTTCCTCGTAGCAGACTTCGCTGAACTTAGTAATAAAAAAATTGAAATGATTTAAGCTTAACTTTAGTTTCTTCGAATTAAAGTTGCAAGAATTTAGCTCCAAGATGAACAAGCATTAGCTTGGACTTAGTGCCGGGATGATTCTAGGGAGTTCGATATTAAGACTATTGAATCTAGTCCGCTGACCTTGTGCTCAGTTGTAGGCCGAGAACTTTTTTCGTGACCGTTTGATACACGCGGGATGCAGATTCTCAGGAATACCGGAATCATGGGTTCGAATCTCACCTCCCAAGTCCCATTCAACACTCATCAGGATGATCAAAAGAGACTGTGTGGATTGCCATCTCGCCAAGTACTTTCCAGTTACTAAAGTTTCCCTGTCTAGGTAATTCACTGAAGTTGGTACAACGACATTGCCCTTTAATCTCAGGGCAGACCCCCATAACATACTCCAGTATCCGTCTGGCCGCTTCGGTCGGAGTTGATTCAGTAATGTCAACCTCTATACGATGTATTAAGGGCCTAAGTGGGAGCGCGAATCGCAGGTTGATGACAATTAACTTTGTTCGTATTATTATATGATCGATCCAGACGCCGAGATTGTTGCTGGTAGCAAAGTCTGAAGTATTTGTCGATGAGCACTCATACACTGTGTTTTTTGCTGAACGAACAATGGCGGGTTTGACTGTTTGTGAAGATTTTCAAGAGCAGCCCTTCATGATCGACGACTACGTATTTAGTACATTTACCCTAGTCAAATCGACTTTTCTCGCGGAAGCATGTTCTCCAGGACTAGCTCTCACTCCCAGAAGCTCCGGTCAATGATAGCAAGCCCAACTTCCAAGTTCATCCCAATAGATGGACGGAGCGTTGCGAAGAGTCCCGAGCATTCTTCAATCTTTCGACTCAACAATGAGGTGCCTCACGATGCCTACATGAGTCCTATCCTCGAGTTTTGAAATTTCGGAACCACCCGCGTTTCTCACGAGTTGCGGGTCGACGGAGTGTCCGTTTCCAGCCCCAATCGGAGCAGGCAGCAAATAGCCTGGACCTGGGCGGTTAACCTGCGTCAGCCAAATTACAGTGCTTTTGAAAAGCTGCTGGCTGAGTACTCTGTCACGTAGGATTCTCATGCCAGGCACTGCAGCACATGGGTTTAGAGCCCGGGATATTAAATCAGGCAGCAAACAGATCCAACACTCGGGGTTCAGCAACAAGAAAGCTTATTTTGTCGATCATCCCCATCGTACACCGGAACCATGGGGGCGGGTTTCTATAACACCGATTACGGCACGTGGGTACGAATGCTTTAAGCACTTAGAAAATCGCGAGAAGCAAGCCAACCAATCATTTACTTAGTCTCAGACCACTCTCGAGATACGGCCGAGAATCGTCTTTTGCGCGCGGTTCATCTGACGGGAATGCCGGGAAACCTGGTCCTCGTCATTGTTCCCCCATGTTCATCAACAAAAGGCCCTGCTGGTAATGCCTCGCACTTCAAGAGTCAAGGAGATTGCCGAATAGGAACAGCCATGAAGCTTTATTTGATGAAGGGACCTCAAGTTAAATAAATCAGCCTCTTATATGGCATTACAGGTTCAACTTTCAAGTTAGGAATCTCTCGTTCACACGGCAGAAAACGCCATTGTTCACCATGTCTGATACGCCATTTCTAAACGAATACCATTTCTTCGCTGCTACCTTCTCTTTCAACGATGGGGAATTTCCAGACACATGTGTACGCACCACCTTACTGATAGGTAACATCGCAATGGCGATACCTGCCCGGGGTTTAGAGAGATCTTGCTACTACATAAGTACTAAGTACCTAACTGACACTTCAACTCTCAGAACATGGCGCCTGGGTTAGACTCTCATCTAGACGGGCACAGCACGATAGACTTAGCGACATTCGATCCGGACCACTACCTGAATGCAACCATGCACCACGATGTTGCCGACAACAGCCTGGCAGCTACATTCGATACGGCGAAGGGAGATAACAACGACAACTACCACCTTCCGACTACGCTCAGGGACGACCAAAACACCCAGTTGGATTTGTCGTTCAATATGACGTCGCTAACTTGCAGCGCGGGCTGGGACGAAAACATCGTTACGTGGCCTGACGACTTGTTTGGCGCTGCTATCAACGATGTTTACCCCAGTCCGAGCGAGACGAACAGCTGCGAACCCACCGACGTTGACGACGATTGGGTCCCTCAGAATGTCTACCAGATGGGGTTTCAAGATGACGATGACAATGGCGACTGGAGTTGTAGCTACGCTGGATGTCGGTCCCTTGCGGTATTCGAGCGTGCCTGCGATCTCCGAAAGCATCGTTCAACACATACCAAGGCTTTCTTCTGCCCGCGTCCCGAATGTGCGGCCTCTGGTATTGGCTTCGCAAACCACAAGGACTACAGACGTCATCTTCGCTCCCATGAACTAAGCATTCCCTGTCCCTACGCCTTGTGTGGCAGGGTTTTTAGCCGAATAGATAACATGGTGAGTTTTCTGCGCGCGTCCAGTCCCCACTTTACTTCATCGTCTTGCTCGTCTACAATGGCCTCGTCTTCCACAGAATCAATATTGATAACGATGCCCAACGAAGAGAAACCACTTCAGTAAGATGCATGGGCGGAAGAGAAACACGTTGTTTGCCCGCCCGTGCCGAAACAGGGGCAAGAATCGTGTGCAGCCAGGGGATAGCTGTTAAGAAATGACGGATCAAATGCTGAACACAGACCAAGCGACCGAAGGTGACATATTTCTGCAGAGTCTTGGAATATCAGATGCAAGCACTATCGACACTTTGTAGGGGTAAATAGGGAAGTGCCATTACTTTTTGGAACATAGAGAATTATATAAACTAGAACGCGTTTTACTCGACAATTAGATTGTTACTGCCGACCTTCCTCCCAAGTACAATGCATCTCTAACAACACTTGCGGCGTCGATATGGTTTCAGTCATTCAAAAGATGTGCAATCTCAGAGAGAAGCCGCAAACATCCAAGTATCTGAGGTCTTTGTCAGAGATAGTCTTATGATTTGTGTAGGCGAAGCTTCTTATCTTTGTCCATTATCCCCGAAGCTCCCTTCTGCCACTCATTGCATATCTTGAACTCCAACGATGGCTTCTATTCAATCGCCATTTACACTAAAGACCCTCCCCATAATTCATCTAAACGGCTTCCCAGGCACGTGCAAGCTTACTATCGCGAGGGCTCTGCAACAGCAGCTCGGTCCATGCTGCCGGCTACTGCACAACAACCTGCTCATAGACCCTGCGGACGCGGTACTGCACCGCTCTGAGGCAGGCTACCAAGGTCTACGGCGCGATATTCGCAAAGCCATCTTGACGTCGCTGGCCGATAGTCCAGTCAGTCTAAACTTCGCCTACGTTTTCACCGACTTCCAATCCAACGCTGACGTAGGAAGCGCCGTTTGTACCGAATATCTCGAAACGGCGCGTGATCGCGGCGCAGCGCTGATGTCCGTTGTCGTGACCTGCGATGAAGCAACCGACATAGCCCGTACACAGTCTGCTAATCGCAAGGCGCATCGCAAGATCGTCGACCCGGGACTACTACGCATGTTCCGTAACGACGTCAGAATCCATCGCTTTGATGATCCCTTGAGAGAAAGCACTGGAATGATAATGGCTTAGAACTGAATCGCTCGTCTTCCGAACTAATATTATGACCTTTCACCGGACTGTTGAGCTTTCATTCTCATGCTAGCTTCTCGTGTAGTTTCGTCCCTGATTTGATGCAAGCCGCGAGAGATCACCTGAATTTCTTGCAACTGAATATCTCACATGCGGAAGTCAGCAGAGATGAGTCTATCTTCGTCTTTTGTTTCAGCTCCAAGGGAGTCATCATAGAAAGTAAATCTTGTACAGACCATAGACACCATCTCTCACTACATGTACCTACTTTATCCACAAACACCTCCAATGGTCTTGCTAACTACCACGTCTCACTGGGGAATCCTGCTGACCATTCCTGACATAATAGGTTTTGCAATGCTGTGATAAGGTATATCGATACACTGTCATGTACGGTTTCACACAGAGGGTCTGTGATATTAAATAGCACTATTCAATTGAGGAGTGCTCAGGTGCATATTTGAACCATAGCTTTGTACACGTGGGACGAAGCTGAGGAAGCATGACGAAACACTGAAGGCATAGGTATTCCGCAACTCCAAGACGATGGATGCGCTCGATAGGCCACGCTTGAGTCAGTAACTAATAAAGAATGCACAGAGATAGACCACAGAGGTTTATGTAAAGCGGCGGTCCAGTCGCCGCACGATGGCCTGCCATCTTTCCAGCTGCGGACATGTAGAAAGGCACCAAAAGTTTTAAGTAGGACAGTGGTCAAACACGGAATTTGTCAATGAACGAGTCTTGCGCTGTGTGTTGGGAAGTACTAGGGGTTATGCGGAGTTGTTGGCTACGACGAGTAATGATGTGTGCCATGTGCCTACGAGAGTACTGGGTAACACTGCAAAGGAGTTGCCATGAACAAAAAATGCGATCGAAAGCTGGGGAATCAGAAAACCTTAATGATTTCGACCCTTGCAGTTGATCAATGCGCCCGACAAGCGGAAACTGATGGATCAGCAACACGCATGTCTGCAGCTGCTTCATCAATGTGGGCCGACGGGGTGGCGGGCGCCAGTGTCACGCGAATCATGGACGAATCCGACCGGGAATAATCCACCTTGTACACCTTCTCGACGTTGTGACCGATGCAACTGACAAGGGTACATGTGCGACTTACAATGACATGGAAGACGAACTTCAGTCTTCAGCACGTATAAAAGACCTTTACCAATAACGCAGTTGATTGCCGTTTGTTCCAATCCAGATCATCACTCACTCTCACTCGTCTCTTCTCTATCCTACAAGACGCCATGACGCCAAAGTCGAATCCTCATGTCCTCATCATCGGTGCCGGGCTAAGCGGTCTCACCCTTGCTCAGATACTCCGCAAGAACAACATCTCATTCTCCATCTTCGAACGGGACAGCAGAGCTGACGCCAGAGCCCAAGGATGGGCCATTGCCTTACACGGCCCTTTGCTGGCTGAACTGTCAGCCTCGATGCCGGCCGACCTCGGTCCCATCGAGCGAACCAATCATCTGAGCCCTCTCGACCATATCCCGGCGCAGTTCGTCTTTTACGACGTCAGCAAGCCCTATTGGAGAGTCGGTGTCACGGATGATGAGACTGGAAAGATTATTCGTGCCAACCGTCAGCGTCTTCGAGACTGGCTCCTACAGCACCTGCCGGTGCAGTTCAACAAGCGTCTAGCACGACTCGAGGAGCAAAACGACAAAGTTGTGGCGCACTTCGAGGATGGAAGCTCGGAAGCTGGCGATATCCTTGTTGGAGCTGAAGGGAGCCGGAGCTTGGTGCGTCAGCACATCTTGGGCGGACAAGATGTCATGACGCCACTTCCTGTGGGCTCGCTGGTCGGGGAGATCGAACTTGGGGTCGATGAGATGAAGCATCAGCTTGAATTGGGCCATTCTGCGTACATCGTTTTGGACTCATCGCCGGAGAACCGACGGCAAGCAAGCCTCTTCGCCGCTATGAACAAGATTAGCCCAGACAAGAAGACCGGGTACTTTTATTTCATCCTTCACTGGATTGACGTTGAAGCCGCTAAGAGCACGGATGAGAAGCCTTTCTGGACCGTTGCCGCCTCACGAGAGGAGCTGATGGCATTTGCGAAGCAATGCACCAAGGGTTATCCTGACAATCTGCGTGTGTTAGTTGATAAGGTGCCTGTGGAGAGGTACAAAAAGCCAGGCATTGTGCTGCAGAGTGTGAAGTTGACAGTTGATCAACTCCCTGCTAGTAGGATTACTCTGGCCGGAGATGCCGCCCACTCCATGACGCCGTGTAAGTATTCAAACATGACGTTGAAGAGAACAAAGCTAACCCTTGATTCCCTAGTTCGAGGAGAGGCCGGTGTCTGCGCACTTACAGATGGTTTAAGACTAGGTGAAGCCATCAAAAGCATTCGAGATGCTGGAGGACAAGGTCCTGATGTGGTGAAGTATATCGGAGAGTATCGCGACGATATGATTTCCAGAGGAACAAGAGCCATCAGCGTGTCCAATCCAGTGCTTGAGGATCATTCAAAGGACGCTGAGTATGAGTTTTATACGTGTGGGAAGAAGGTCCTGCCGCTCCCCGAAGAGACCATTACCATTTGATTTCAAGATGTCTCTGAAGTCCGTATTCTCCCCTCTTTGATAGTTCTCAATTAAGATCTCCTTGTACTCGATCTCTCATACCCGAATCGTCGAACATCGTGGCCTGGGCTCCATTATGACAAAAACAATTCTACACTGATTACTGACATGCAACTGCTTTGTGGATGGGGTCGCAACTATCATGCGTTCCTGCAAGCTCAAAGATCCCCTGCCTTTTTTTTGCCTTATGTATATCTCGGTATGTTATGGTGGGATTATGGAGTTTTACACGGACTTGGGGACTGTATTTTGGCCTAGGTCCTCCACTACCTACACTATTCCCCCTTTAGATCAATCGCATGATGACGAACATGGAGGGGGGACCGAAGCCGTACTATTTGTCTCGGGATGTCTGAAGGGTCGACGCACTTCAAATGAAACTTGTGTACAGTGCACCGAACGTGTTGTCTTGCGATAGGCAGGGCTGAAAAGGATGCCAGCAGGATGGCGTGTGTGGTATCCGGCCCCGGGCCGAGCTCCCCGTTGCATGCCATCTGAGGTGTGAGAACGTTGCAACACATGAGCAATCCAATGATCCGTTCTAACAGTATCGAACAGAACAGTAAGAAGCGTTTGTTTGATACAATTCCCCTGAGAGGCCCTACAGGCTACGGACCCGCGAAGCGTTATCGCAGCAGATCAGTTCTCCTTAAACAAGACCCAAAGACACGACTGCGACTCCTGCGGAAGTGTGCGCACTATTTGCACTTCATGACAACAACCTCGATACCAGCCAAATCCTTCACTTTGGGCAGTTGGCCACGTTGGAAGACCCAGGACCGTTCCTTGTGCACGACTGTCCTTCCTTCCCGTCACAATTACCCGAGGAACAGAAGAGGCGGACGCCGCTAGTGTTTTCCTGGCATTCGCCCTTGGCAGTGCATTTGCCCTCTTGAGCCTATTTGACAATCACACGTGAGATTAGTAGACTGATTCCGTAATGGGTTATTTGAAACGGCTTACCAGAGTGGTAGTTGCAAAACCGAGCACTGCGGCGAGAAGGAGCTTGTTGATCTTCATGGTGTTGTTAAGTAACGTCAGGCAAAGTTGCAGTGAGCTAAGTTGCGGTTGACTGGAGTGGTCCAGGTAAACAGTCCAAAGGCTTGTGTTTCTTATATGGTTTCTTCTGCAGAGGATTTTACATGCATTAACAGGAAAGTTACCACTCGGAAAGTATCGACGGCTTTGTGTTTGACACCTGGATCACGCTGGAGGTCCACCCAATCTATTCAAGATATCAGAACCTAGTTAAAGTTTAAAGTCTTTGGAACTTAGCCACAGAGCGGCTTCTACGACGTAACAATGAGCTTGATCGCCGCCTCAGAATCTAGGGCTGTGTCTAATTTTCTTATCAGGAAACGGATATGGTTTGGTATGTCCTGTTCACACTATAACCTCTTGATAGAACTTTATACTCCATCGTGTGTCATAATTCATTGATCAACAAAATAAACAGACGAGTGCTCCAAATAAGCTTCCTCTTCACATTACCTGTCCCCTATAAGACTATGCCTGAATCAGTGCTTCCGTCCTCAACTAATCTGTAAGATTCCAAGACCGAACTACTAACTCCAGTCACAAGATTCACGTTCGACACCCAGAGCGAGACTTCGCCCTCGCATGAACCGCCAACAACATGCTTATCACCCACTCCTAGGAGGTAAACAACCCGTACCTTCTTCAACTGCTTGAGGAATATCCCGTGCATTTTTTTGATCAATCGTTTCCACCACTCCTTCGGATCCGTGGCCCGCAGATTATCGGCAATCAGCATGACGTCGGCTCGTAGGCGATAGACACGCCAGTCTCCCGAACCCACGTCATCATTCGCGAAGAAGCCGACTGGTGGTACAGGAATAGTGCCGGGACCTTTTGAGCCCCTGACTGCTCCAAAGTCATGGCCTACAGTTGTCTTGATGAGCATCACTGACATCCTTTGAGCAGTCGTGAAGGGAACTATGGAGCTTCTCTCGAGTCGGGGAGGCTCAGTAGTCTCGATCTCAGGTTTCTGTAAGTTGAAACTTCGTCAGCACACAGCTTCTCACAGGGCAATAAAAGTTGACGAGAACTAGAGAGTAATCTGTGCAAATGGTTCAACTAATGTCATGGGGCTGGAACTAGGTCATACCTGTTCCTGGAGAAGCACAAGCCGAGACTTGTGTAGAGAACGCAATAACTCAATCTGGCGATCCATACTAGCCGCTGCAATATACGCCTTCATGAAAACCAGCTCGATAATGGCAATGCTCCTCAGCGTCACATAATCCTTCAGCCTCATAGTCGTCGAGCTCTTCAACACCACCGCAAGATAAATGAGGGAGAAGAAGTTGACAAACGGCGTATCAGACCAGACAAATCGCCCCGCTCGTCGCAGAGCAAGAATGAGGCGCAACCAGCTTCGACGGCACGAGAAGACAGAGACCACAAAGGAGAAGCCAAAAGTGCAGGCAACGAAGACGTTGAGAACCATGTCGGACAGGAATAGGTTCATGGCGATGGCGGAGGCAAGAGATGCGCTCAAGAGAAGGAGGCCCGTGTTGGTGAAGTACAGCTCGGCGAGGTCGCCATCGTTATCGTTGGAAAGGATTGAGGTATAACCGTCTAGGAGGACGGACCGGGCGTTTGGGGTTCGTTGTCGAGCCTTGCGGCGGAACGGCGCCAGCCTGATGACGATGGTGAGAAGGTTGAGAATCTCTTTGATGAATACAGTCAGGCAACTATGCAAAAGCAAAGCGCTCGCGAAGTTGATGTCCTCATCCCAGGTGACCATTTCGCCACCGTCCAAAACTGTTGATAAAGCGAGGTTGAAAGATGGAAGAGATGATGAGACCAGGCTGGATGATGACAAGGAGCAGGTTGCCGAAAGCCGGGGGATTCGTATCCTTGCACAGCCTGCCTTGAAGCGAAGTACTGAGGCGCCGCTCTGAGACAAAATTATGAGCGTTTGCGCCTTCTGTCGTTCATCTTGGCTGAAGTAAGGCAGTCCGAAGTTGACAAGGATATCTCCGGTGTCTGCTCTTCAAAACTGATTAATAGCAAAAGGCTGATCAACGCTTCATACTTAGTAACAAGAGCTAATGAAGTTTCTTCATCCGCCTCATAAGTCTTAGGTATTGCATCTTGACGTTGTTCAAATTAGTACCCTATGCTCAACTGCAGCCAGAGTCTCACCTACAACCCACATGTTCTTATTCCCGGAAGACATCGAGAGCTCCTGCAACGCCGACACTTCGGACCGTCGCCCCTGTATCTTGCCACAAAATGCACGGTTATTGTGATTGACTGTTTGAAGCTTCTTAGCAGACCAGTTGAATTGACTGGTTACCGGTAGATAGGTCCAAGTTCATAGGTTTTCCAGAGTCGCCGAGCAACGCCCTCATCGTCTCTATGCTCATTGCACTGCGACTGCCTTCTGGACTGAATGATGCATAGAATACATACGTCAGGCTTTTCTTTGGCTTCATTGAATAATTCTCTCTACCAATTGCATATACCATTCTCACCCATTTGAGCACTCGAAGTTGTTGGCCAGGCGAAGACGCTGACTCAACATTGTGCTTGTTACTAGGAAGTTAGAGTGAAAGCCAGTAATAACCACGCAAACCCATTGTAATCCCAACACCTCTTTGCAATGGACATGGACTAAGTTTTCATGCAGAAAACGGAACGACTGGCCTCACTACACTTTTATTGGAGGTAACTTAACAGAGTTTTGGAGCTCCACGAGCCCTTCTCTGGTCGCGCTCGGTAATAATTCATGTGAACACTGGCAGAGACGACCGAAAGATCGAACATCTATGCATCATGTCGATAACCTCTTTAAGCAGGTGTGCAGATCACATCATCTTCACCGAACGACGTCATTTTGTGAATTGCTTCGGGTTCGTTTCTTATCACCTTCCTCAATACACAATCCTTGCAATGGGGTGCTAATCAACCCCTCTGCCAATATATCTTGCGGAGAATACGAACTCTTCGAAAACCTTGGCAAAGTGGCTGCGCGTCTGCCATTATCCCCTATTGCCCCGAATCGTATCTTTATTCAATTTCCAAAATAAACATCGACAATCACTAAGGATCCTGCTCTCGCACCGGCTCAACACAGTCTCTACCGTCGCAAGAACCGCACAAAAGCCGTCGCGATGCTGTTTTCTCTGATTCTTGGTGCCTCACTGGCACAGGCATCCCTGCAATCGCTGACTTCGTTCTGCGGAACCCCGGACCCCAGCGACAAGCAAATCGCAAGATCGCTGGCCGGCAGAGATGTGAACAGTGGGAGCAGTCTTCTGGCCGCCAACATCTCCGTGCCCGTCTATCTCCATTCCATCGCCCCAAATGAAACAGCTCTTTTAAGTGTAAGAACCCACTTGTGCGTTAACGAAGGCCGCCAGACTGACTTACGCCCCAGGAAGCCAAGCTCGAAGAGCAATTCCAAGTTCTACACGACACCTTCAGCAAATACGGCATCACCATGACCCTGGGCGGCACGTCGCGCATCGTGAACGCCACCTGGTCAACAGTCACAAACCCAACCGACGAGCTCGCCATGAAATCCGCCCTCCGCAAAGGAAACTACCAGTCCCTCAATATCTACATGCAAGCAATCCACCCAACCCTAGGCCGCTGCTTCTACCCCGAAGCAGACGCCTTGCCCGGCTCCGAGACATTCATCCTGGACGGGTGCCAGATTGACGCCAACACGGTCCCCGGCGCAGACTCGCCTACGGGGAACGATCGCGGGTACATGGCGGTCCACGAGGTCGGACACTGGTTCGGCCTGCCGCATACTTTCCAGGGAGGGTGTACGGGGACGGACTTCGTTGATGATACGCCTGCGCAGGCTACGCCTTCTTGGGATTGTACGGTTGGGCAGGATACGTGTCCTGATTTACCTGGCGTGGATCCTCTCTACAACTTTATGAATTATCAAGCAGAGTAAGTCCAAGACGTGTCGGCAAGTTGCATGTCTATCTGGCTGACGAATCCTGTAGTAACTGTTGGAACGAGTTTACGCCCGGCCAAGTCCAGCGAATGCATGAGCAGTGGGCGACATTCAGGGCGAACAGCACAGTCTAAGTATGAAAAGGGATATTCTTCACTCTTATTTTTGAAAGAGCGACAGACTCATCTCCAATTGAAGCCTGTATGACATTTCGCAGTTAATTCGATACTTGCATATCCTCACGGACCTGCCACATGCACTTGTTGAAGGGAAATTGCAGGTATCCGCGCCACCGTGTCCCACCCGGTTTGCGGCACCAGGTCGTCCGCAGCTCCAAAAGAAAAAGCGAGCAGAAATCCTGCTGGAACGGAAACGCATGGGATAGTGCTGCAGAAAGGCAAAAGAAACTCCTCGACGGGGAATTGAACCCCGGTCCCCTGCGAATCGTTGAAGATCAATGACAAGCAGATATCCTCACCACTAGACTATCGGGGATTGGTGGATGTGTGCATCCAGTGATAGTTGGTTGGGTGGGGAAGCTGTCGGTGGTTATATATAGGTAAGCCGCCAAGCGGGAGCCCATTGGCACCAGTGCCGTTATGACGCTACGCACCGACCTGGACCGCCCCCTCGAAATTTCTCTGCACAAACGAAGGGTGTTGATGTGCTTCTTGAAGAATGCAAAAGAGGAGACGTTTGGGTTCTGCAGAAAGTCATGACGGAGCCTCCAAGGCATGAAAGCCTGCCGTTGGTCCTGCAACTAGGATGCACCAAAAGACTGCTTTCTCGACACACATCTCACAACCCTTGCCATTTGCCAGTAAATCTCTAGTCAGCACACACAACTCATCCTTCAAAAGCCCAACGTTCCTATGGTGAGCCAAATATAAATCGCGGGGTTCATAGCAATGCTCACCTGTCAAGGGAAAAAGGTGGCTTACACGCATCGCTGGAGGTGGTGGCCCGCATACAGCACCGACTGGGTCCGTCCAACGCAACCAAGGAATCGACGACGGATGAGGCGGCCGAGGCTTTGATGAACCTTGGACATTCTTTTGCTCGAAGACACGGGAACTCTTGTACTGAGCTCTAGAAGAATGTCAAGCTGCCTTGGGGCCATCGAGACGACCTCAGTAGCTGCAGTTGGGAGCCTCTGTGTCCCTTAACCGTCACCGCTCGACTGCGGTCCAACACTTCGAGCATCGCGAATTACGCCTCGCCGGTGCAGGTAGAGTCAATCACGTGAGAATCGAGCCAGGATTTGAACTGCCACGCTGGCCACCTTCACGTCCACCCGGTCCGACTTCCAACAGCGTCAAGACTGTCATCTACTAGCAAACATCCAGTGTTCGCATCGCCAGCGCCAACACCTCCGCCATCGCCTCACAGCAGCACGACCAACGTAGCCGACAAGCGCATCACACGCCAGACCCTCCTCGAGGCCAAGCAGGCCAAGCAAGCTAAACGGTCAAAGGAACAGACCAGACTCCAACAGACAATCGCCAGCGCGATAAAGGCAAGCAGGCTCGGCAGGTCGCGGCTGTAGGCGATGGAAGCGAGGTCAATAGTGTGCGCTTGGGGACGACACACACTCTGTCGTGATACCTACACTGCAGCAATGCAGCATTGCAGTAGGCAGTTCAACATTGGCATGCGACGTAAGCGCCAATGCGCTAGACGATGAGCGTGGAGTGATTGGCTCGAAGGACGCCATGCGGGCGCCTTGCTCCTCTGTCGCGATAGTTGGAAGGAACTGCTGAAAGTGGAGAAGGTGGCTTGTCGATTCTCTGCAGATGAGCTACGGCAGGCCGTGCCTTAGACCGTCTGCGTGCTGCTGGAAGCAAGAAGACTTTCTGCCTGTGTGACATGAACTGGCGGTCCGGTGTGCTTGTAAAGAGGGGTTTGGGAGCGCAGAGTCGCGCCATGGTTATGACGGCCTCATATGGGAGCCCCTCTTTGGAAGCAGTCCTCTCCGAGCAGCCATCAGATGGAGAAGAATGTGTCTCGGGCAAAGTCCGATCAGTGTAGAGGAGAGGAAAGTGCTGTCAAGATGCCATCGGAGCCGCTTCGGCTTGCAACTTCGGGTCCAGAACTTGCTCAGAAAGCTTGGTGTGCCACTCTCCAAGACTTCATCTGTGCCGCACGTGGCGTTCAAAGTCTCGTAGGGAAAACCTCGGTTTCTGGAGAGCTTGCACATCCATCTACGATGTCTCCAGTTCCAGAAAACGGTGGATAAATGCAGGATTGCGGCACATCTCTTGGCCGCGTTTGGGACCTCATTCTTGCAAGTCGAAAACACGTTGTAGTCTCCGCTGTGCAGTTGACGGAGGCAGTAGTGCATTTGACAATGTGAACTGAATGCTTGACGTCGATCAGACGGCCACAAACACAAGGTACTGCTCTCTCGGGTCACCCAGCCGGAAGAATAACGACTCCCAGAGAAAATGGGTTATCGGCAGACTGCGCCTCGTTGGTTAAGGGTGCTTTCCAAATACGATCTCCTCGGGAGGTTGGCATCAACATCATTGATCCAGGCTCAATTCCGACCTGCGGTCTTTGTCGCTTCAAAGGCACCGCGCAGCACGATGGAACTGTTAGGGGTTTCCAAAGTCGCATTCAGCCCTTGTAGCTCAGGAGGCAGTGATTGCTATCATTCAAGGATGTGATGCTCGGTTTGATCGCCGACACACTGAAGAAAAGTATGGACGAACCCCAAATGTAGGGCTTCGCGAAAAAGGGTGATCCTCCGCGTATTAGTGGGCTTGTTGGGTCGTCTGGGGATAAATTCCTGGAGACCAACAAAGTTGAGCGACGGGGACAGCTGGGAACTGAAGGGATTCGCAGAGGCTGTGGTCAGTGCGTTGAGCTCTGAAACGTAGGCTAAGGCTTAGTGGCCGTTTGAAACGGGAAGTTTCCCCTCGCTTGGAAACCTCGAGGGAACAAATCTCAGCTCGTCATCTTCCATCGCCCGCAACGCGACACTCAGGAGGAATTGGCTTTGGCGTCTCTGACAAGTCATGCCTGATCAGACAATCTGCGGGCGGCGCAGAATATTTGAGACGCCATCGAACACGAGGACTTCATCCCATGTCAATGTTTGCGATCGGCTCAGGGGCTTAGATTGCGTGCAAGGTTGCCGGTAGTGCATGTCTTGGCCTGACCATGTTGTTGGCCTTCGTCCCTGGCCGGCCGGCCAAAAGTCCTGGTTGACGGATTGAAGCGGTGGTCGAGTTGCAACATGTCGAAGATTCCGCTGAGCACGTATGCCAACTCTTCGTGCCTGAATCCATTGTGAAAGCCGTTGCTACAAGCCTCGAAAGCTGACGACGGTTGCGATATTTGCGATTCAGTTGTCTGCACACGAAGCTTATTTTCCCAACGGAGATTCCGCAGCCCTGTGCCCACAATTTCGCATCAGAGTTCAGACCTGAGGGAAGCGTGTATTGAACCTTCAGGACACGGAGCTCCGTGTGCGCCCGTCGTCGGCTCCAAGGACGAGGCTGCTCCGAGCTCGAGTCGTGCGCAAGGAACCGTTGGATAACCACCGGTGGCCGGCACCGTCAGATTCATCATTCCGGAGAGCAAATGTTTACCCGATAACCCCTGAGAAATTTAGCCGGATCTGTAACACCGAAGCTGCCCAAAGTCGGTAGCACCAGAAATGTCACCGGCGTGGCATTGCAGATCCCCAAACATTGTGACGTGACTGTACGAGGTTTCAGGTTCGACATGTTGGTTCGCTGAGCTGCGAAAGAGCTGTCATGATACCTTGAATACTGGATCTAGAGATCTCGTCAGGAGAAGGGAGTTCCAGTCGCGTCTGAATTAAAGTGCTGTCGTGATGTGATGCCACAGAGGAGATCAGTGGAGCACCGGCCCTGTCCGTCACTGTGCCCGTGGTGAACAGTGCGCGATTGCGAGGTTGCAAGGAAACGAAACGTTCTGGATGCAGGGAGAAGGACGCCGAGAGACGGGAGAAACGGCCGGTTGAGTCGGAAGTTGCGGACGGTGGAGCTCATAAACGGCTGAACCTTGGTAGAGTGCTCCGGGGTGAAGCAAAGGCGATACCGAGGATTTCTCGAGATTGAGAATGAGATGACTACAGAAATCGCTCAGTCTTCCTGCCTGCCACAGTTTTGCGGCCATGTGTATTTCGGGCCTACAGACCACAGACTGATTGCTTCCCAAAAATAAAGAGATGCATGCCGTGGTCAGAATCCGCTTATTGAGCCAGTAAGCAGGAGGTTGGACCTCTCAAGATCTCGGTCTTCCGAGTAGCCGTGCTATATTTCGAGTCTTTGCTTTGCGGAAGCATGGCAGCCGACCCCCGCCACCGTCAGCCAGTCATCGTGGCTCGAATGCGGATTAGCGGCGGGCAGAAGAGGCGCACGAGGATGGAGTCGTGAGGGGTTGAATTGACCGCCTAGCCGCGCCCACCCGCGATGGTCGAACGGCCTCGAGGGAGAATGGAATGGTGAGGTGACATTGTAGACGTTCAAATGACAGACTCGACTTCTGTGAGGGTACCCAAGGCGACCCTGGCACGCCACGAGCGCCACATTGGAGAGAACCAGGTGGGTTGCAGTAAAAGAAATGAGGTATTTTGACGACACGAAAATGAAATGGACCGGCAAGTACGAATTCTGTATCCGTATTAGCGGACGGTCTGGTCGGACTCGAGGACGTTCGAGACAGCGGCATGGATGGCAAGACAGGCGACAGAGTTGGCACCATGTCGGCTATCTTGGACCCAGGTCCATAGGATCTTGGAGGGGTTCGAAGATTCCACAAAGCCAAGAACGGGCTCGGAGACAACCAAGACTCTTGGCTTCTGGAGACCCGCGCGCCTTGCAACGTACACTACAACATGCCCCATGGGCCAAGAGCGTAACCAAGATTGACTGTCAGCGACTCGCTGACAGACGCCATGTTTTCTCGAGATGACAGCACCGTCCAAGTGAGTCAGCCACGCCGTCTATTTTGTTGGAGTGCCTTTCTTTGATCCAAACCCGCGCATGGCCGCGCCAGGGTCAGCACTTGGTTCGTGATCTTCGGAAGATGAGATTGCCGCGGCGCTGGTAAGTTCTGACTTGTGGCTGTGTGGCACGTAGGATTGTCACTCTGCCCTCGGCGTTGTGTTCTTTGATTCCAGATGCAGTCAGACGGGTGGGACATGAGCCATGCGATGCGATGCCACGCGATGTCATGGTCGCCAGGCTCACCGTGCAGGGTCCTAGTATCCCACAACTCGTGGCCGCCTTCTACGAGGCCAGGATGCGCATAGGCCGGCCGAGCTCAGGTTGGCCGCAGCGAGAACCGACTGCCTGTGACGGTGTACGATGGTGGATGTGCAGAGAACGTGATGTGCCGTAGACACACAGATAATAGAGGCAGAAGAAACGGTTGCTGGATTTGTGAAAAGTGACGG